CGCAACACTTTTATTTTTCTCGCTATATCGCCTCCCAGGCAACTTTTAATCAAAAATGTCTTCCAACGAAACATCTTCCGAGAGGCCCTCCTCTCCATCAGAAGCTCCCCCCGCTGAACCCGTGACATTCTCCGTCAAATTATCCAACGACAATAAGTTCCCGATATCCCTCCCTCCTACCACGTCGGTGCTAGACCTCAAGAAAAGGCTTGCCGAGCTTTCCGACGTTCCAGCCGATAGACAAAGACTTATCTATTCTGGCCGTGTAATGAAGGATGAAGAAACTATAGGAACTTACAAGATCCAATCTGGGCATACAGTTCACATGGTCAGGGGTGCTGCTTCCAATGCGCAGAGAGGTGCTGCATCGGGTGGCTCAGCGAATGCAGAGGCAGCAAACAGACCGGGTGTACCGGTGAATCTTGCAGCGGGGACTGGAAACAACCCACTTGCGGGATTGACGGGGGCGAGATATGCAGGTCATGTGCAGTTGCCAAGTGCGGAGATGTTTGGACCTGATGGAGGGGTGAGCGTCCTTCCGACCCTACTCGCCACGCCGTTTTTCTATGTTTTACAAAGCTAATATTTTATCAATCTAGATGGGCCCCCCACCCGACCCAGAGCAGCTTGCCCAAGCCATGAATAATCCTCAATTCGCATCAACAATGAACGAAATGCTTCGAAACCCCCAGCTTCTTGATTACATAATCGCATCCAACCCTATGCTTCAATCGCTTGGACCAGAGGCTCGCCGCCTTATGAATAGCGACATGTTCCGTCAAATGATGACCAACCCTGATGTCCTCCGACAAATGGGTCAAATGGGCGGTTCCCTTGGTGGCCGTGGTTTTGGCGGAATGGGTGGTGCGCCTGCGCCGTCTTTCCCGGAGCCAGGGAGAACAGATACAACCCCCGCTCCTGCCGGTCAGGAGGGGTCTACTACAAACACCAACCAACCTGCCGCCGGTCAACCCAATCCATTTGGAGCTGCTGGTGGAGCAAACCCCTTCGCTGCTTTGTTTGGTGGACCTCCTCCTGCTGGTGGAGCAAACGCGCAATCACCAGGTGCCGGTGGAGTTCCACCACATCCGTTCGGAATCAACCCAGCGTTGTTGGGTATGCTTGGCGGCATGAATCCTGCAGGATCACCAGGCAGTCAACAGGCTCCATTGTTTGATCCAGCTACAATGAATGCTTTGCTTGGTGCCATGGGACAAGGAGGCGCACCATTTGTCGGTTCCCCGCCTCCACAGACCCCAGCAGACACCAGACCACCAGAAGAAAGATACGCAGAACAGCTGAGGCAGCTTAATGACATGGGTTTCTTTGATTTCGACAGGAACGTAGAGGCTCTTAGAAGGAGTGGGGGGAGTGTACAAGGCGCGATCAACCAACTGTTGGGTGGCTAGTTTAGTAGTTTGGCAATACGGGGTGGTTGATTTGTAAGGTGGAAATGCTAAACGTTTTCTTTTCTTTTTTTTGAGCCCCCAATTTTCTCATTGGTTGCATAAAATTGCAAATGACATATCTATCTCTATCCCAGCTTTTCCCCTTACAATGTGCGTGTCGTTTTTACCCTTCCGAGTAATAAAGGGTACTGTAAGCTGAGACGTATCTAAATGCTCAATTAACTTCGCCTACTGGCAATAAGATACGAACATGCTTTTAATCCTTCAGCGATGTGAGCGATAATATATATAGTGCAAGTAGTATGACCGACAGCTTGACGCGCCGAATCTTACTAGGTAATCACCGGGAATTAGCGAAAAGCTTCTAGGTTTTGTGTCTAAACACTTTTACTCACGTCTCGGTTTCTTTCAGCGCCGCTGTCTATCTTACTGTAATATTGTGACTAACGTTTTGAAATGCGTAATAAAAGGCTGTATGGAGTATGACTAATATTATTCTGGCGCCTTATCTACAGACCCGGCTTAGCGAATAGTATTAAAAATAAAAATTATATGAGATATGCCTTGAGAGTAACAAATAGTCCTCCTTTGTCTATTCTACTTGCTGGAAAAAAACTCCTATGTTGTCCAATGAATATCGAGAGCAGCGGGTTAGGTTAGCCCAAAAAATCCTTCCCCGATTCACTACACCTACCAGCACCCAGGAATACTGTTTCCCCGTCGTATGATCAAGTCGGGATCACTGGGCATATGGGGTTAACGGTTGCTGTTAATATTATATTGACGACGTAGCAAGATCTCCCAGCAAGTCCCTTCATGCTAGTAAATACATGTGCGTGCTCCTATGGAGAGTTGCAAAGCGTGGCTTTCCTTCTGATAGATAACACTTCTCAGCATACTTCCCCCCACCCCCGGTCCCTGGCCCCACTCTGGACCCGCTCTTTGGATAATTGTTAGTTGAGTCACGCCTGAATTTGGGGGCCTTCTTTACTCTGGTGTCCTGGAAGCGCCGGCTATGCCGTATATCGAGTTGGTTGGCCTTTAGAAGAGCTAGGTCTCGGGAAAAAAAATGCTTTAGGACTCTTCTCGCTGTGATGGGGGAGATGCGTAATTGGCAGGTTCATAGTGTAGGAAAAGGGATTGCGGGTATAAGGGAGCTGGTATTTTTGACCCACTCTGGAAAGGTACTGTTGTGAGCGGCCTATGTAGGTGATTGGTGACACAGCGCGAAGATGAGGGGTAGGGTCGCGGTGATAGCGCTGCGGGTGCGAGCATAACATAATAGTGCTGCGGTATTGTAGAGGATGTCGTAAATATCTGTTGCTAGAAGTGCGGGTTACTGTTAAAAGTTGTACGTGGTTTGCAATTTGTAGCCGTCGTACTCTTGTTGAAATATTCTTGGGCGGTTTGTTAATTTATATGCGTGTAAGTGGAACTTTCGTGGAGATGGACCAACAGTGTTGAGCTCAATTAAGTCCATCATGCGACGTTGGATTATCACTCTCTACCCCAATTCGAAGGCAGGAGCAACCGGGGAAATCATAACCCAATACCGAGAGATGCGTTTGAGGGTGCAATAATGTAAGTATTTTGTCATGGAGAACAAGACCTGTGAATTTTCTTCAAATGTGGTTATCTTGGCTTTTCGCGTATGAGAGGTATGTAGGTCCCTACCACAGTCCTGCTGATAGTGGTTTTGTCCCTACTATAGATCTACTAGCTTGGCGCGCACAAAGGTGCCGCCCGTGGTCCCATATCCCCTCCACAACATCTCTCTCAGCTCCTCTTATTCCCTCTCCTCTCTCATCAGATACCTCCTATTATTCCTTCTCCGCTTCTTACGGCGCGCGGTATCTACTCTTCCCGATCCCCCAGCCCCGTTATTCGTCCTTCATCCCTGATCTCCTCGCCCCCCCGCCCCCCAATCCCCTCTTCTTGGGAATGTAAGCTAACGCACAAGAAACATTAGAACCGAAAGCTGCTTAAGCATTACCCCACAAAAAGCTCGGGTGCTGTCCATTCCCTCTAGCATAAGGGTCCTTTTTTTCCCGGCCCTTCCTGCTGTCTTTGCCTTACCCCGCCATAGAATCTCCTGGTCTAGTTGGTTGACCGATGGCCGGATGAGCTCCCATCTATATAAGGCCAATACGAGAGGGAAAATAACGAGATCCAATTTTATCGCCAGAGAGCAAAAAGCCAGCCTTCTTTAAGGGTGCCATATCTTCCTAGTCTTTGCTTTGCTTTAAGCCAATCTCTAAGCACTGCCTCGGCGGCTGTATTACCTCGGCGGCTGCACTCAAGGGGGCAGACCTGTTCTATCTAGATTCGGGGCTGTAGATTCCCCACTTAACTCGATAAACAACCGAGTGATATCCTATGAATCAGGCCGGACTAGCTGCTGTCGACATGACTGACCAAAACGGGAAAAGATGGGTTGTGAATCTATCTAAGCAACTCCCGGAGTGCTCACTAATCCGCGGATCCCAAGGTAAATTGTATGCAGGACACCTACAGTTCGACTTGCGAGGCTTTCAGGTGTTTTAAGGGCACGCTATATGGGGGGGGGGGTTGGGCCTGGGGTTTCACATCTTCGAGTCCTTGACTATCATCTCGGCTTAATGACTACTTCCGGCTAGATACCATCGCTAAGAATCACTTAATGTTCATTGTTTCCATAAGTTTTACCAGATGAGCTTAGACACGAGTGATAAGCTATGATTACAGCAAGATCCTAACTACACCTCGTGTCAACATTCCTACAATCGAGTGCACGTGCGAGTATAAGCCATAGTACAGGCTCATTGTTATGGAAATCTTGCTCGGCCCTATATGCCTTTTCTTCTTTGAATAGTCTCCATTAAGATGACACGGCTGCATCGATAATTTCGATCATTTATGATTAATCAGAACTAAACCTAAAAGGGTTCGCATCATTCGGACATGGATTATCATTCGAATTTAGCTGCAGCTTCTTACTAATCGGATAGTGAAAGAGGCTGCGGAATGGTAATTATATATACAACACTGGAACCTGGAAACAATAAGGGATATTTTGGTTTGCCCTATCACTCAGAATTCGAGCTTGATAGGCCTACAGAGCGTGTTAGGATCACATGGAATCACTCGCATATAGTCATTCAGATCAAGTCCGTTATCTCTTGGTCTATAATATAGGCCATATAGATGAAAGGTTATGAGTATTCCCCCAGCTCGAGACAAATGCTTGAGCGGGTAATTTATTACGGAAAAAACCTAAACGAAAAACGGCTCTGAAAATACATTGTATTATCAATAGTTATGGTATCAAATATACAGTTTTTGATCTAAGAAAAAGAGGGGCTACAAAAGCCGAGAAATTAAGAAAGCTCCCTGGGAATCTATATGCAAAACAAAGTAAATATAAAGAACTAAAGAAATAGAGAAGCATAAAAAGTCAACTATCATACTTTTCGTCGTCAGTCATGATCATTGCACAGAATCATTACCGGTTGCATCACTATAAAAACCAAAACAAACACAATAAGTCACCAAGTTAAACCGAAATAAAAGCACTAACGGAGAACGGGAGAAAGCAACAAAGGGAACAAAATGTCAACCGCACCCAGGCGAGATCCCAACTGGGGACGGTATCCTCACAGGTACCTCGCGTCCAGAAAGTATTGAATATCCTGGCAGTCCAGATCTGTTCTGCTCTAACTCTGGAGGAGCTATAGAGCGTGGGGTAAAGAATTCGTCGATATTTGGATTGGCTACTGTAAGGACTGGCGAGGAAGGAGTAGCAGGGTGTGAGACTTGCAATGGAAGTTTCAGCGAGACGGAAGGGCTGGTATGGGTGGATGCTTGTACGGATATGGAGAGATCGAGTGTATAAGAGCGGGACATGAGACACGATGTAAAGCTTGGAACAAGCTCTTTACATTTCGGAGCAGTAACGGGGACTAGAACGGTTGTTTTATATGTTGTCGCTGGACCAGGTGCTAATGGTTGTTTAACCCATTTGGCACTCTCCATACACCTTGATGATAGTAGTAGTGATTCGCCATAATATCCTAATGACGGGTCTCCGTTTTTGGAGCTTGGTCCCGGAATATAACTAAGTTGGGATGTTGAATAGAAGGTCAACACCTTCAACTTTGCAGTCAAACTCCCTAGTTTTGGCGGCTCTAGCGCTTCATCTGCAGGGACGAACCAGAGCGACACTGGCACCATCGTTGTCGCTGGACATAGTGAGTCTTTCGATAACCGCAATGACCTAGGCTGCTCGGCCTCCACTATCAAGCGTCCCATTTTCCCCTTGAAGAATCCCTTTTTGATATCCTTCTCCGCACGCATCACATACTCGCCCGGATGGTCTTCTATATGCACTGGCGGAAGCTCCTCCACGATTGGGAGGATACGCACTCTCCGAAACGTATCTCCGAGCGAAACAGCTTTTCCGTCCGACTCTCGGCGGCGCACCAACTTGGCTTGAATGTAATAAGATACTAGAGTCATGTCCGGGAATAAATCATCAGCTAGGCACCCCTGATCTGTTGCAAGAGAGGGGTCGCCAGCAGAAGGGGGTAGTTGGAGATGCGAGTCTCGGACTGAGTCGTTTTTGAGCGTGTGTGTGCAGGCCGTTGGGAGGAGGCGTTCGGGAATTACAAAGGTGAATGGGAATATGTACTTCCTTCCCCTTTCCAAGATGCGGGGATGCGGCAGCAAGGTTTCATCCGTGGGCTGGGTCAGCTTGAGAAACTGTGGGGTGATTTCTTGTTAAAAATGTCATTGGCTATGGTTGATAGGTTGTGATGAACATACTGTGATTGTCGAAGAAGTTCGGCCCGATGTTGCGGGCGTGGCCCCCATTCTATCCATCCATGTTCGTTGTTTCCCTGTACACCTGTCAGCGTCGCTTCACCTCACCCCCGACACGCTGTGGGGTAGAAGGGATGTTACCTTCAAATGTAACCTGGACATCATCGAATCGAATGTCTGCTGTAGTTGCAATAATAGTCACCTCTCCCTTAATAGTGTCCAATGTCGAGTATGATTTCAACCCTCCATTATACTGGGTGGGTTCTTCGCCTTGAACATTTATAGTGATTCGTGGTTTGCCTACTTGCATTACAGACCGCATGGAACTCACGACTGAGTTCCTAGTCGCTATAGAGGATGTGCTGCTGAACATCCTGAAAAGCAGGATTCGCTAAATTGATCGAGCTTCAGATGTAACTGTTGATCGACAAGTTGGAATGTGACTGGATAGGAATGTGCAGGCGTCTTTATATCGTACGATAACTATAGAAGGAACAAAGAATCCTAATGGGTGTGTGTTGCAACCAAGTACGTATATAGGTTGTCAACCTAACGTCTTTTTTCTATATATTCAGGTAGAAAAAGAGCTCTTGACGCTGGATTATATGTGTTATTCTGAAAGCAATTGATGTGTGACGTAAAGATAGGTATTGCAGTTGGCATGCGCGGTGTATTGGGGGGGGGGGGGATATATTTGAGTGCTGATTGATATAAACGCTGGGAGTCGAGTAATGATACTCTGTTATCTGTTCTGTGCTTCTTGATTTTCTTGGTCTTCCTGGGCTGGAACATTGTGGGCTTTATATTCAGTGCGAGAGATTCTCATGATGGATGGGTGCAAATGACTGACTCACGCAATAGTAGCATTCGATTTCTCTCTTTTACTAGGAGAAACGATTGTCTAAGATTTTCCACGCCTCGACGTAGGCCAGGCCGATGTGCGTCATGCAGCTAGCTAACAGGAGGTACCAATGTTGATTGATCCGGAAATGCAATGCCATCGATTTTTCTCTACGTCCAGGCTCATTGTTAGACGTAGACTTTCCAGTTCACATGCAGCGCATAATCTCAATACTGGACTTGCGCGTACATCCGCCTCTACTAGCCTGCCAGTAACTTTATCAATGACCTAGTGGGTAGAATATAAGTTTTTTTAGTAGAACATTTTCTTTAAACTCAAAAGGATTTCTCCCGTAGGCCAATCGTTTTAGGAAACATTCGAGAAGAAAGCTGAAGGAAAGGAGCAAGTACAGCCGTGTTAAACAAGTCTTGTCAGTAGATGACAACGCGATAGCGGTACATATAACACAGTTCCCCTCAACAACCATAATTCCAGAGGACTTGAAATTAAGGGTACAGGAAAATTAGGATACTATTCATTATATTCTAAAATCTTGAGAATTTGGAATGAATAATAAATGTGTAGCTTCCATGAAAAGTTTCGGCTGTAAATGGTGATTTGGGCCCACATGCTCTACCCACAAAGTCTCAACAACAACAAGAGCATTCTCCAAAGTCTAAATGTCTATCTCGAGTCTATGACCCTGGATACCCTTGATTTAATTGCAGAAATTCTCTGGCTACTGCATGTGTAGCTATTCTCCTGGAAGTATTCAAATCGCAATATTCACTAGTCACTGTATCACAAAAGCAGAAATCCAGCAATAATTCTGTGGGTAGGAATACTTGTACTCTGGACATCTACAAGGCTTAATTATTTTGTTTTAATCAAATCCAATTGATGGTTGTTGAGTGGGAAGGATTTTAATATTTCGTGTGGTGCTGACTGCCAGGACTTTCTTAACACGACTGTACATGTGCCTACATGTAAGCGATTCATGCAGATTTTCCTGGGAAAGAATCCCAGTCACCACAAACATTATCATTGTTACACAAGTACACTACCAACGGTAGCCTTGTCAAGTGGAGGTTTAGCGAACCGGGACCTTGGCGTCTAGCTCGGCTTGCCGAGATTCTGCACAATGACACCCTCCTTCAGCTGCACATGATGATTTCCGCGGGGTAGGACTCTAATTACAAATCCATTTCCTTCATAATTCTGTAGCAGTCATATGAAATCGACAGGCACCAGCGGCTGTTTGGATATTATCTATTGAGTTGTTTTTAAGGCCTTACATTCAATTAAGAGCCACGGCCCCCACGTAAAGAGCATCAAGATTTCTGGTCCGGGTAAGTCCATCACTGATTATAAATCGAACAATCCGATCCTGGATTATTTTTCGAGATTGGGAATACGAAGATAGCGCCTTGGGTGCTCTCGGTAGTTTGACCTATTCCTAGAGGGCATGTGGTTGTTTTAATATGCAACCTGTAGGTGTAATCAACAAGCCCCCGTGCTACGCACTCGGAGTTACTTTGTGGGGAAGAGCGAGTGATTAATTGGTTGAACAGTTGTAAGAGAACTTTGTACAGAGAGTTATATGAGTCACCAGAATTCAACACAGGATTGATAGTACCAGTGGGTGGGATAGATCTCGTTTGAAGAGGAAATGATTTCCTTCCCCATATTAGACTAAGCCTTGCTGTTCGATCTTTAGTTTATCGATCTTGCACAAGCATAATTATATATATAATAGATATTGATGGCATAACAGATTGTGGCTTTTGAGTGACGTACTTTTTAAAAACACTTGTGTCTTCTCCATTCCCCCACTCCTGAGCACTTGAACACTCTCACAGTTACTAGTTCACCAGAGGTTTCTGTACTGGTTCAAGGAAAATATTATAACACTATTGGTTGTCAGTACTATAATAAGTGCCCCTGGTTCCAGCTGCACCCTGCATACTAGAATTAGGTGCATGTAGTTACCGACCGGAATAGCTAAATGATCCACGGCCCGACATTGTTTCCAGTTTCAGGTGCTTGTTATGAGCTAGTATAGATCTGTACTTGCGACGAAGCTCGAAAATTTAGCTCTAGCTTTTCAACTAAATATGCAAGCCAATATTCACCCGGGCCGTTTGAACCTGGTAGACAATAAAAACGACAGCACAACCAATTATTTTCACCTAATAGCAACTCTTTCAGTAGGCAGTTGTAGCCTAGCGAGCGAACTAATAAGTGGCCATGAAACCTTGGCATTATGGATTTTCTCTCTCGCTGACCATAGACTATCACTCACCACCCCACATACAAACTCCGGACTCGAAACGTCATAGTGAGTATGTCGCCATAAGTGTGGTCGATTCAAGTTTCATCTCACAGAGCTGCGGAGATGTCCGAGAGTGTTTGTGTATACCTAGCGTGCGGGGTAGTTAGTATACGAGGCTGTACATTCTACTCAAATTGAATTATTGGGCAAGCAGAGATGAGAGCTACCACAACTGTCCGACTGGTGGTGGAGAAGGTGAATATATTAAGCCATATATCTTGATAGTGAATCGAATACTCTAACTATAGAGTCTGATCCATAAAGTTAGTTGAGGACGGTCTCAGGTTACTTTGGTCTCGCTCAATATTGGTCCCCTCTCTGGCCCAGAAGTATGAGATCTTTGCACAAAGTGTTCCAAAGACCGCTTGGCCTCTTGGTAAATGCCAGAGTATCAGTGGTGATAATCTGGTACTAAAAGGCAAGTCCAAGGCCATGACATTAGTATGAGTTTGGGCAGGACACAGTTATGTAGTCTGGAAAGGACAGATTTCTGGCCCGCGTCCCAGATCTGCTCTATAGACTACGTGTAGCTACACATAGGCCCGTTGTTCAAGAGGTGGATGCTTGTGATTAGATTGAGTCATCTTGGGGATGAAAAACAATAGATACTTGTATTTGAGAAATAAAAAACACCGGAAAAAGAAGAACCAGGCTTAGTAGACGATCATTGAGTAAGTGAGCTAGAAAATTTGTAGGCCTTGGCAGTCCCGAGTGATGACTCATGAGTTAAGTTCAATCAACCGCATCGCATCGGTTCGATCGCGGCACTTGTTTTCGACCAACATGGATACTACGTGAAAAAAAAGAGAGCGCCTAGTCTGTTACCCATACCCAAAGAGTAGCTTGCTGCTCACTGTGATTGTTACGTGCCTAGAGAGCGCCTGGAATGCAATGCATGCGTGCTTTCTACCCGGCTGGTAGGAGAGTGTGTTATCGATACGTCAGTTTTTACGTTATGAACTCGTCTCGTATCCCGTACCCCAATATACATGTACTCCCTCAATTCAAATTAATTCGCATGTACATGCAGGGGGCTGAGTGTCAGTATCAGGCTAGAGGTTTCCAGTATGTACTCTGGCATACCTTAATCGGCTCCGAGAACCGACGTCTCAGACGATTAACGGCTTTAGCCGTACTATGAACCCCAAAGGTACACGCGCGCGTGGAGATTTGGAGAGGGGGGAGGGGCTATCCTATCTCTTTTAGACATATTAGATCTGTGGGGGTGATGGGGGTGTGAAGTGATTGATGGTGGAAGACGACGGAAAAGCTACTGATATGACTCAGGCTGGAGGGGGTTTCCCCTTCCAACTGTCCGAACTCTCAAAACATATTATCATCATCACCATCCAGGCCCTGCTCTCCTTTCATTACCCCAAACCAGCTCTCTTCGAGCTTGCGCTACAGTTCAGGAGGAGAATGCTCTACAGTCAAGAAAAACACTCTACGATGCGCGATGGACTCGTCTCAATGGTATTTCTCACAACCACACGTGGCCCCCAATAGAATACTATGCACCATTGAAAAATCTCTACTAATTGGGAAAGAAATCATCGCCATTGCTTCGATCAAAGTACTATATAACCAATCGATTATAAAAGCTCATTTTAACGACGATACAAAGCTGCGAATGCCGTGATCTTCGACTTATCTTTTACCCTTGTTATAGGAGCAAACACTCCAGTAGCCGGGGTTTCAAGTGTTGTTAACTTCAGGAAACTACTTTACCACTTCCTATAGTAGCCGTTGGTGATGAATATGAAGTAGGGGTATGGCAAAACAGCAGTGAGGTAGTACTGCTTTCCACCAAACGGACATGCGTAAGTCAGGTGGAGGAGAGAGGGGGAAATAAGATGCCACCTTTGGGGTGTTGTTTACACAAATGATTTCGAGTAAGAGATTATAGTGGACGTAATACGAAGAGTAATATATAACCTATAAGCTAAGTCAGCTTGAGTTTGTTCCCTTGCTTTAGGCTTATCTCTTTGAGGGGCTCTGATCGTATCTCACAAAACCACGCAAACCAAACTAAAGCTTGATTCACTACATATCTTCACAACACCGACCACCTGGTATCATGATCATACCAGAGCACAAATTTAGGAAACTTCGTTGAGATATGACTTCCGGGCCGAGGAGAATATCTGGTTATGAGCAGCGTATGTGTTACCTATATACAGGTACATATAGAGTAGATGATTATTGTATTGTAGTCGGTTGTTTAAGTAGCTGAGTTTTACAGACTTCACTCTTTAGCTTAAACTGTCAGGATCAACGAAATGCTGCCCCCCCAAAAAAAAAGAAGAAAAAAAGGTTGTGCCAAGAGTATGGCTTTTGCACGCATATTCCGTTATCTTATTAAAGAATAGATCTCCTATAAATCTCTACCTTTAGCATTGACAGACTAAGGGTAAACAACAGTCTTGCCCTCGAAATACGAGTGAGATATTATGAATCAATAATTGTTACCAAACTCATTTTTCATACATCGCTAGCTACATACTGGACAGGGACGTAGGCAGATATCCACACCAGCGTTGTCCGGAATGCCGGCCGTGGTAGCTTACCAGCTGTGATCAACTATTTGTCTGGCCCTAGACTTTGATACACACTTGAATAATACTGATATTGATATTGCTAGTTCGTCTTGTCTCATATGAGACTAGAAATACAAACTTCATTCGTTAAGATTATCCTCCGCTTCTAATAGCTGATGAGTATGCATACCCCCCCCCCCCCCCCGGGGGCCCCCGCCATACATGTAACTATAAGATCATATTTAATCCGAGAATAGGGCACAGAAAACTTGCGATGTAATAAAAGGTGTATGACCTTATCCTCGCAACATGAGTGAACACCGTGCCGACGCGAGGTAGGGGAGAAACGCGCCTGGATAAGTAAACCACCAGTCAAAGTAAAAGAGAGCTGAGAAAACAGCGAAATAGAAAGAAAGCGCCAGCCAGTCAGGCCGTAAAGAAAGCAATTCGTGAGAATATGAAGGGAAATACAGGTAGAAAACCACTACCAATAACGCCAGTGTATGAAAACCAACCACGTAACTAAAATAAAAGTAAAAGTAAGAATAAGGTAAAATCGAACCGGTCCACTCCCTTGATAGTCGCGGCCGGTATACCACAGAAATGAATGAGAAGACCACAATAAATACACAACTCCAGTGATTAAAAAGAAAGAGTAAGGAAAACCAGATCCCCGCTATGCTATTTTTGCGCTCATCAGCTGAAAACACAAGAAAATAATGAAGGGAAAAAAAAAAAAGATCAGAAACACCAAATCCGTTTTCCTTGTAAAAAGCCGAACCATGTTTATTCATCGTCATCGTCTAGGCAGATCACCTCGACCTCCTTCTTACTGTTACCGCTAGTCGCCCTATTGGTATTTGAGGAGTCCTCATTCTTTTCGTTAACGGCGTTTTCCTTTTCATGCTTGATTTCCCAACTCCCATCCTTCTTCACAACTATGTTTCTTGGGTCCTGGACTCCCATGTCACCCTCCTTGATCGCATTCAAAACTTCGACTAAAAATCCGTCAATCACCAACTCTCCCGGCCGTGCATCCCCGCGGCAAATAGGGCATTTCCAAGCATCAGAATTCGGTGGCTCCCATTCTCTACGTCGCGGGCGACTGTCCAGGAAGTTTTTGAAGTCGAAACATTCAAGGTGTGTACAGGACCGCCCCCGGACCGGGCTGTTCATGAGCGTGAAAGACAACGGACATGTAACAGCCAGGGAAAGGTGGTCGCTGTCAACAACCATAAGATCATCGCCGTCTGCACTTTGGCCGATCAAACGTTTGGTAATAAGGGCCTTTGCATCGGTAGGAGAAATGGTATGAAGAGAACTGGTAATATCATCTTCATGCTTACACTCATGAATCTCGACTGCCATGGCATACATGACACTTTTATCGGTCCGTCTGGGTGTCAAAACTACGATCTTCATCTCGTTATCGCCGGTTTTGATGAAGCTTGTAATATCCGCCGGTAAATCCTTCCCCCAAGCCGGTTTTCTCCTTAATTCAACATGATAACCATTCACTTCAATGAAGGTATTAACTGGCCAATCCGTTTCTTGTGATACCCATTCCTGGTCTGGAGTCAGAGGTTGAGTGCTTTTTGTCCATTTGATAGATCGTAGTCGATATATGAGTGAACCTGGAGAAACCATTGGTCGAGTCAGTCCATCCCCTGGTTTGGTCCCTGGCCTAGTTTTCGAAAGTCTTTTTTCAGTATCCTCAGTAATATTGAATGCGATTTTCTGACATGATTTTTTGAAATTGATCGCAACCCCCGGAAAAGCAAAATCGCTTATGCTGATATAAAGCTTGGAGCGTGGTGGTGTGCTTCCGTTCACTCGAGGGGGTTCAGCAAATCTCGGACTCATGAGATGGGATTGGAGCGCGTTCTGAGGAAGCTGCGTGTAGGCTCGTATCGGTGTTGGTAATGGGATAACACCACGCGGGCTAGGTAGCGCATTTACCATTGTAGTTGGGGCCATGAACTCGGATCGCTGCGGGGGAAATGTTTGTTGTATCGGCTGGGTAGTCAGACTTGTATCGTTAACTTGTCGCATGTGCGCAGAGTTGAGCACGGCCATGTCAGAGAATTCCAGCGGATGGCCCTGGACGTAGCTTTGTCGGCGCGCTGGAGAGTTTATAGTTTGTTGAGGCGTGGTGGCGACCTGCTGGGCTGGTGTTGAAGCTACACGTCTCTGACCCTGACCCTGTAGCTGAGCTCGTGAATTCCGACGAGCCTGCGTCTCCGCTGGTGATGGCAATCCTGATTGATTGTATTGCTGCTGCATCCCCGGGCTAGGTGGTACGCGATTGACTATCCCACTAGGCGTTTGATTTGCTGTTGGGGTAACTATCGGGGAATGCATGTGAGAGCTGGGCATGGTGAGCCAGCTTGGGGTGTATGTTGGCAGTGGAGAATTGTTGACAGAGCCGACTTGAAAAGGCTGGCTTCTCGCTAATTGTTGAGCTCTTTGGGTGTCGATGCTCAAGGGCATAGGAGCACCATTGCCTCTAATGACGCTAGGATTCGATGGTCTTTGTCCTTGAGTTGCGATGCGCTGCAACGCGGAAACATGCGGCTGTCCATTCTCAACCCTTACGGCATTGGTAACGTTAGTCTGTTCTGGTTGAATGGCTCCGCCGGTCGCTGATATCTGCGGATTACTCTGAGGGGTGCTGTAATTCGGAACGGGTGAGATTTGCGGTGGAGATTGATGGTTGATTGCCATCTGCCGATGTTGGAAATTGGCCAGTTGTGGTTGATAGTTGTGATTTTGGATTGGAACACCCTCCGTTGGTGTAGGGTTTTGTTGCCGTTGCTGTTGCTGCTGCTGTGGCTGCGCAGTTTGTACCTGCAACCGCTGCAGGAGCTGCTGATCCTGCAGTTGCTGGTTCCGTTGCAATTGTTGCATCTGGATATTTTGGCCCTGCAAAGCTTGCCGGTGCTCTTGCTCATTTGTGTGCTCTAATGTGCTTACCTGAGCGGCGTGAAGCAGTAGTTTTTTCACTTGGTGCTGGAGGTAACGAACAACTGTATAACGGAATACCGGAGCTCTGGTATTCCAATCTCGTGCAAGGTCCTCATCAGTCGGAACTCTTCCTGCCTTGAAGTAACAATCCCTCATTCTTCCTACGATCTAATGGTGTCAGCTGACTAATCAGTGTAAAAGGTGAGGATCAAGTAGCCGCATTAAGCTAGCAGGACTAACCTTATATCCATCTGTCAGGAAATTCCTGACTTCCTCCAAGAAACTCGGAAAGAAGGTCAGCCGTTGTTTTGCATCCGCAATTGGCACCGGAAATGCCGCAAGGTATGTTAGATTTCTTCCGCACAGTCGTTGATTGTCTTCAAGAAGTTCATTTAGCACCTGGAATCCGGGCAACGAAGCAGATATCCCAGTTTCTTTGAATAAAGTGTTTTGATCCTCGGCGTTTGATGTCAGAGCATATACCTGACTCATAATAGCAAAAAACCAATCTTCTTTGGATATTGCTTCACGGAGAACCTTGAATCTAAAACATTCCACGGCGTTGAATAGTCGTAGGCCAACCCCACCCTCTGTTTGAATAAAATGATTGATTTGAGGAAGAAAAGCTCTTAAGGCCGTTTGAGACGCCTGCGCTGGGTGCTGCTGTTGTAGTACCTGTTGAGGTCTTTGAACCTGCTGTTGCTGTTGGGGCTGCTGTAGTTGTAGTTGCTGCTGCTGTAATTGTTGCTGTTGTAATTGTTGCTGTTGTAATTGTTGCTGTTGTTGTTGTAGTTGTTGCTGCTGCTGTTGTTTTAATTGTTGCTGCTGCTGCTCCTGCCGAAGCTGTAGTTGTAGCTGCTTTTGATGCTGCTGCTGCTGCTGTAGTTGCTGTAGCTGTAGGAGTTGTGGGTGGAACTGAGGGGAAGCTGGACCCTGTGCTCGAAATTGCGATGCTAATGCCAAAGGACTCCACGAATTGAGATCTGATATAGCATTCGGCAAAGGGATACCCAACATTGGAGGCTGAGTCAAGGGCGACGAGGTTGTCGGTGGAAGTGATGTCGAATAATGCAGAGGCGCTGAGAAGGATTGCGACGATGGCGCTGTTATGGAGGATGCATTTGAAGGGATTACTGGAGTCCTATTGGGTGGTATAATCGGAGACTGGGAACTTCGCTGGTTAAAAACAGGTGAAATTTGTTGACTATCTACCACAGGACTCTGTACACGACTATTCAAACTAGTCCCTGAACCTTGCTCACCTGACCGAGGGATTTGAGCTGGTGGTAAAACTGCATTTCCCTCGGAGACTGGTAACATTGATGTTTGCTTCCGTCGTTTGGCATTTTCGGCATGATCTTCTGTGGCTTCGAATACCCTTTTTGAGGATCCCCGGGGTAATCTACGATTTTCTGGGTCACTCATCGTTTGTATATCCTTCTCCCCAGTGATGCTGGACGAAAGCTCTGTTTGTGTTTCTTTTCGGGTACCAACAGCTATCACATGTTGTCCATCCTCTGCTCTTCCATGCCTCTGCTCTTGCTCACTGTCATACACCCTATCGGTTGGTGAGCCGATTGGTGTGTCTTGAGCCGCTGCCGATGTTACCCCCTCCTCCCCTTCTTCATCCCGCCTATCTATAGCTGATGGACTATCACTAGGCGCCGGTGAGGGCAGTACTGCCTCCATATTTGCACTAGGTAATCTCTGTGTCCGAGTAGGTGGTAAACCGAAGCCTCGCGAGTCCGGGGATAAGGAGCTCGGGGGCGACTTTCCCGGTCCGACGGTAGCGAGTAGTGGTATTCCTTGGTTCCGGTCGTCAATGGTTATGATATTAGTAGTATTTCGTCCTGCGGTTGTAGATTGTGAAGGCATTCTGTTCAGTGGCGTTGTCCTTCTCCTGATGGGGTTTATCTGTGATCGAATTGTAGTTCGGACGGGTTCCCCGCCAGGTGTCGGAGTAGCATTGTGATTCCACATCCACGATCTTTGCTTGCCACCGACGAATGCATGAAGCGTGTTGTTGACCTTGTTCATCTCAGAACTGGACATACGTGGTTGAGGCGAAACGTCAGTTACCAGCAACTACCGTAGCGTCAAGCGCGTCGAATGCAGAGAAATATGTAGCAGACAAAGGGTTGCGTTTTTCGCGCGGAAAGTGTATGAGATATAGACAGATTCAGGGAGAACGTAATCACTTACGCTGCAAATGCTGTTGCATCTGATTTATCGACTGGTTCCTTCCTGGTTCTTTTGCCAGGGCCTCTTCCTCCTCCACTCCCAATACCACTTTGACCCCCTCCACCAGCACTCACTCCCGCTGTAGCCCCAACCCCAACACTCGCATTGTTGGTAGATGCGATACTTGCTCCATTCGCGATCATTCTTAAACAATTCTCCCCTCCTTTCCTTGTTCTTTGTTTCTTTCTTTATAACACAATTGCCAATTCGCTCTCTCGATCGATCAGCAGTTGATTACACAGCAAAAAGACCGAGGGCAGGCGGCTCGCTTATTATGGTATTCCTTATGTTCGACAATATCAGAATTGTCAGACCCAAATCCTTGGATTGACGTGGCGGCCAAAGATGGGTATGTGAACCCTCGAGGTGATGTTAGCAACCGATGGAGCGGGGACCAATCGCAGAGCAGAGCGTGGTTGAAAGTGCAGTTGATCTTTCTCGATGTGTTTATACCCAACTGGTGTCGTAAGTACGGTACTGTAGTACCATGTGGGTATCAGTGCTTCCTGTCATAATCAGAGTTGTGTTTGCTTTCTGTTTCTCAGAAAAACTTACCCCTGTTGTTGTCCTTTTCTTTTTCACTTATCCTCTATCCTGGTTTACACTTGCCACCCTTGCTATCTGCTAATAGATGCTTCTGGATGTGTTTCTGGCTGTCTTGGCAGCCCCAATATGGGGGTTATACAGCTCCAGATGAAGAATCTACTCAAGGTTACTTGCCTGAAGTAAAATGTTTGTGTGTGCATAAGAGGACTATTCTTATATGCTTTATGGAAGCAAGGGGTTCAGAAAACAAGAAGAATAGGAGACAAATTGCATGTGGGCACTTCAGTATTTAAGTACAATTGAGTTGCAGTCACATGAGACATCCATTTTAGGGTGCCACAGCAGCAAATTGCGTTCTACAGTGGTAAATTGACGCGAATCCTGGCCTGTTATGGACTCGCTTACGTCAATCGTATGGGAGTTTGTGACTGTCATAATTCGCTCTCCCGTGCTCCTGCCGCCTGCCATTGCAGGTTTATCCGTGGCCGAAGTTGATGCTGTGGTCTCTATAATTTTGATACAGCGAGAATAAGGACAAACATGTCTCCTCACTTATGCCTATCTCCAGCATTTGACCAACCTCCCTGTGTCACCAAAAGCCCGAGCTATTGGTGAAGTTTTCCATAATAGACCTACTACCAGTTAATTAAAGATTTTTTGCTAAAACCTCGAATTTGAGGCTCGATCAGGAAGATCTATCGCGTAGAATAATCCTATTTTGCTGTTCTCAGGACCTAGGAAGCACAATCCGTAGAATAACGCAAATTGTACTAGAATTGAACTAGTGATGAAACCAATCGTTTTGTAATTTGTAAAATCAGACGGTTTTAGCGTTTGTGAAATGAACTTGAGTTCTTCTTATCCACTGTACACAACACAGGGGTATTTCTGCCGGTCGTAGGCGCGAGTTCCCTCTATCTTTGAGGTCTGAAACCACATGCTGTAGTATTCTCAAAAGGATAAATATGCATACAACAAAGGGAAATGAGCACCAAGCTCTACTTGGCAAGAGCTTTGGTAAGTATTCATGTCAAGTTTTCGCCGATATTTCAGGACACTTTGTGCTTTACCCTTGAGTTGAGTGATTGTAGTGCGCCAGGGTAAATGCTTAGTGACTAAGAAGATCACCTCCTGTGGGTGTCATCTGAGTATTGAGTAAATTTAGGCCTGCGATGGGCTCATATGATGAAGTCTTGAATGCCGTAGTAAAGGCAGCATCTGTACGGCATGTTTGGTCGCCCATTTTTATAGGAGAGGAATTTGTGACGTTGCTGTGCTGCTGTGTATCTTAATGTTGCTTTTCGCTCTGTGTTGGCCAAAGGGTAGATCAGACATGTACAGCTGTCCAAATGGTGCAGACAGCGCGTGTTTCCGCTAGCTTTGTCTGTTGAAGCCTTTGAAAGATTTGTTGTCAGGGAGATAGGAAAGCCACCGCTGGAGGTGAAGAGCGGGAGGGATAGTTGTAAAGAAGTGAGGAACCTTAGTACGTTTATACCTAGAGTGGTTTCTTGCCAAGGCTCGTTGTGTTATGCATAACTGATCGCATAATTTATTCTACTGTTATGTCCCTTGCCAGCTTGACGTGAAAGAACACAAACGTTACGAATGATGCTCTCCACAGGTATTGGAGGGTTGTCGAACGAACAGCAATCACGCCCCGAAAGGGAGTTCTCATGAGTCGCCTCCCACATGCACCGGCTGTTTCTTAAGCAGTCAACTCTGCATCAGTATATAAAGTACCTACTTAGGGTAGTGTAGGTTCAAAGCGATCTATTTTCGGAATTGAAATTTGACTGTCAGATCGTGGAGTTTAAAAGATCTCTCGTGACAAGCCGGTCCCCCGTGGGTGTAAAACGTCTTTTACCAGGTACTCAAGATGTCAACCAGTCAAAGAAATTAGACGTTGTGTCTGTATGGCAGCAAGCAATAAAAATCGGTAGATCAGGGGATGTATACGTAGGAGTAGGTGTACTCTATGTATGAGTTCCCGTCCCTGTTCTTCCCCTGACCCTGTTACTGAAAGCAGTGGAGATGATTTGGCAAGTCGGGCATCAGTCCGTCATGCGTTGGATTTGACTGGTGAGTATCTGTTCACACACAAAACGTTTGGATGAAGTGAGGTGGGGAAGGAACTCTTTGTGCAACTTGCAGCGGGACAAGGGGGATTTGCTCCGCCATCATTAAGTATGTAGGTTGGCCCGGGCGTTGCTGCTGCGTACTCGCGCTGTAGCACAGGCTATTATTCCCATCATCTCTCGACCTGCCTCGGAAGGATTCCCAACAGCGTCACCGAAGAAAGAGAAGAAAAAGAAAGTCAGCAAGGTGTGTTTTCGATAAGGAAGAGTGAAGTGGGGAATGTGTGTGAAGGCGACAGGAGGCTCTACTCTATATACGTTCTGCGATTACTCTTAAATTGCTACAACTGCCATTACTACATTACCACGAGCTCGACAACTTACTGCTTTTCCAACTCCTTTCATCTATCCCTCCCTGCCCTCTCTTCCCCCGCCTTGAGTTCCCGGCACCCTTCTCCGTACTCAAAAGTACATATAGGGAGAACTCAAGAGCCCCACAGCTAACACGCAGGATTCACGCCGACAGTTGGTTGTTTCTCGCCCATACACCGTCGAATCCGGCCAGGTGTCCACACTCCCGCTTGACGGGTTTGCTTCCCTAACCCCACTTTCTTCTCTTCCAACCTTCCACACCCCCATCCGTATAGCCCCGAATAGGCTCGTAAGCTACACGTTAGGGGTAGGTAGGCATACAACACCTTAGGCTACAAGCGGGTCGAGTACGTTGGACCGTTCTCTGGGGAAAGACCGAAGTGCGAGGCGGCGACATGGCTGAAGCCAGGAGCGATGCGGTGACTGGAGATGGATCCACGACTAATGGACAATATCACATACCGCTCGCCATTCCGCCACCACCACCACCAGTACCAGGCATATCAGTTTTACTGCAGGTGCTGCACAATTTTGAAGCTCGCACTCCCGACGAACTTACGTTGCGCAAGGGAGAACATATAGAGCTGTTGCAAAAGGACGGTAGGAATTGACCGGCTCCTCCGCGTCTCTTCATAACTCTTCAACCGCTGACCATTGCAACAAAGACGAATTCGGAGATGGGTGGTATATGGTGAGTTCGCCAAATTCTTTGTTACTTTGCCCTTTTCTTAGACCCTCGCTTCCCCACCTTGCCCCTGACCGTCACTGCCTTTGGCACTGGAGGAAAAGGAACCTAAGATGCCACCTTGCTGCTGGGGATTTGTTGGTTGTTCAATCACCGCGTTCCATATCGTGCGTGCATTGCATTGCCGACTGCGTTGTACCTATGCAAGACGCGCGACCATACTTTACAGGGAGATAGTCCACCAACCAGCAGCCTGGATTCCTCCCGACAATTGCTTTCGTGACAAGGGAGCTCCGATCTTGATGGAAATCACCTCGCTAATACCTGATTTCGGGGACAGGGCCGCTCACTTGCAAAAAACGAAATTGGGCTTTTTCCTCAAGGTGAGCATTTCATTCTTGGATGTAAATCTCTCTTGGAGATATATGTTGCTGGGTTATGCGTTGTGAATTGTTTCTGCGATATCTACTCCACAATGCAATCTCACGGGGATAACCGGAAATCATCACGCGTGGCATGTGGTTTGTGTGGAATTGTTATGCTAAGTGTGACTTGCGTTCTTAAGTGTACACCACCCCAGTGACTACGACCATGTTCCAGTCTCCATCGAAGAATACACATTCATCTGTCGCCCCTTCATCGGCAGGTCCAAGTTCGATTTCTACCGCCACAACAACCCCAATTGCGGCTCAAACCTCGTCAACATACACTCCTGACCCCCCTCGCCCGTCTTCACCCGCAGATTCCCACATCTCATCCTCGGACATCGATGAGCCGCATGATCAGACAGAACCTTTAGCTGTCGAGAAAGTTGCAACGGGGAGTAATACACCGACTGCTAGCACACCGGGAGGAAGATTGATTCCTGCAGCAATTAATACAGAAGATAAACAAATCTATCCCCAGGGCGTGCGAAGTCCTGTTGTTGAAGACACTCTCAGTGATATTGATGAAGCTATAACCGAGATCTCGAACTCAAGTCAGCGTCGAGCTAGCAGGATTAGTAACAGGCGTCATACATCGATGCAATCAACTGTTCCTACTCGAGCTCTTTCTCCCGCGGAAGAGGTCATCGAAGATTCGTCATCAGAATATTCAAGGCAAGACGATATAGAATCAAACTCAAACTCAGAATTCGAGGACGACGAGGAAGAGGATGAGGCCGGCGATCACGTATATCGAAACGAAGATCTAACTAACTACGAATACATCTATTCTGAGGTAGAAATCAGAACTTGGACCCCTTACCAGGTTTCCCAATATCTTCAAAGCAGAAACATCCCGTTGGCGACTTGTCAAAAGTTCGAGGAGGAGGAAGTTACTGGTGCAACGCTGTTGCAGCTAGAAATGTCCCACTTAAAGGAGTTGGAGATTGGTAGTTTTGGCAAAAGATTTGAGGTATGGAAAGAGATCGAGAACTTGGTTAAAAAGGCAAAAACAGTTGTTCCGGCAGTAGTAAGACGCAGTGGTAGCGACGCAAGGATATCGACGTCAAGCCACAACAGCAAAGAAACTGCTCGTCAAAGGAGCAGCACGGTTACTGGCGGGACGGTATTGCCACGAATTCAAAGTCAGCATAACCGAGTCTCTTCGCGCCAACAACATCGTATTAACGTTCATGATGCCAACCAATTAGACGTCAATGTGCTTGGACATGGGCCTCTCCATACTCCAATGACCGCAACAAATTCGACTAATCCTTCTGCGCCACCACCTTACGCAGGTGTTTTTGAGGCTCCCCGGTCCCCTCCAATCTCTCCACAGCGAAATGCAGATACTGCTGGGCATTATCGTCGGTCGAGTGGTAATAGACGCCTTTCTAGCCAGGAACTGCCAGCTACTGCTCTTAACGCAGCTTTGTCAGCGAGTGCTGCCGTACTTACAGCTGGGGGAAATGATGGAGTCTCGCATCAACGAGGTGGATCATTTGATAGGAATTGGTCGATTCCATCGTTCGGAGGAGGGCTCAAGTCAAATGCTGGGACAAAAGCGCCAGAGAATGGTCATAAATCGAGTAACAGTATTGGTACTGGAGATTCAGTTTTAACTGCAGATAGTGGGTTCTCGGGATCTCAAACCCATGCCCCCAAAGTGACAGAACGTAGCTACTTTTCAAGCGGAGAATCCACCCCCAGAGAACGCAAAGTCTTGCAAAAGAAGAATGGGGGTAATCATGCCAAAAAAGGTAGCTACATCGAAGAACAAAGGCTGAGAAGTGCTACAGCTCACAGTCGTCAATCGAGAATCGGGAGCGCAGGCTCATCAGTCGAAACATCGCGAAAACCTTCACCAATCGTTACGGCGGCCCAAGCTTACCATGCTCGCGGGAGTAGCAAAGATAAGAAACGGATGAGCTCATTTAGTGGAGCTCCGGAAGGATTCCCATACGATGCTCCAAGGCTTTCACCCTCCCCGTCGAATAAGATAATCAGCCCTCCAAAGAGGAATGCTGATGAATCAACCATCGGCTTTGCGTTGTCACCCAGCACACCACCCCCTTTACCAAATTCTCGCTCCTTATCCGAGCAACTAACCCCTCAAGGTGAATCTGGTGGTCGTAGTTTCAATTCGCTGGACGGTTCAACTCCTTCTATTAGCGCAACAATAGCCTCAGACCCACTGCGTATTATTACACCTGGTACTCCCGAAAAACCACCAAAGGTATCATCATCCGCCGGTCGTCGTATCCGTGGCGTTTCGTCGGGAACTGCCCTCCGTACAAAGTCAAAAAAGCATAGTACTAGTGCTTGGGAGAAAGGCCTTCGTGAAGTAACTCCTCGAGAGGCGGCGGAAACGGCTGACTACAGCGGCTGGATGAAAAAGCGTGGGTCCAGTGGAATTGGTGTTTGGAAGTCTAGATTTTTTGTGTTGCAGGGTCGTAGATTGTCTTATTTCTATTCAGAGCGTGACACTAAGGAAAGGGGATTGATTGACATTACATCCCATAGAGTACTCCCAGCGACGGAAGACAGACTTGTCTCTTTGCATGCATCTTTTGCCGCGGCAACGAGCCCAAGTGCAAGTCCTGCTATTTCATCCTCCGGATCCCCACAAACATCAACTGCAGATACTAGTGCACAGAAATCACCAACCTCGCCACCATCCTCAAAAGAAAAGGGAAAAGAAGTCGAAAAAGATAAGGGGTGGTTCACGTTCAAGCTCGTCCCTCCTGCTCCTGGTGCCACCAAAGGCGTTACATTTACCCCACCAAAGCTTCACTATTTCGCAACCGACACTCGGGATGATGGGAAAAAGTGGATGGGTGCTATTATGAAAGCAACTATCGATCGGGACGAATCAAAACCAGTCATATCCAGCTACAATGCAAAGACTATATCGCTTGCAAAGGCTAGAGAGCTAAGAGCCCGCCCTCCAGATCTGTTGAAGGAAGGCGAAGAGGACCAGGATTCGTTATCAGACTTGTTGAGCGCGGGATTGGCGATATCTGGGGTAGATCTGGGAGTTGCAGAAGGGCAGGAAGCGCAGGAAGCGCAGGAAGCGGAGGAAGCGGAGGAAGCGGAGGAGGCTGATGTGGAAGACGAGAGGGATGAAGTGCTAGAAGGAACGGAATCCGGGCTTGGCAAGGTGGATAGCATCAGTAGTTCGGCACCCTCCCAGGAAACAGGTGACCCAACTGAGGGAGATGTGCAGGGGAAGAACACGTCAAATCCACCCAAGTCCAATGGGGTTGCAGCAACGACCGATCTGAGTATTGTTGCGTAATCCTTCTGTGGACGAATGAGCACCTTCGGAAGGTTTGAGGAGTGCAATTCAACGGAACTTTCTCTTCTCTTCTCATTACTAGGGGCTCTAGTTTGTTAATTTTTCATACGTTTTTAAGGGTGGTAACTATCTTCTTTGTAGTATCTTCTCGAGTCATTCTCTCATCTAATTTTCCCTTTATTTTTATCTTTTCCTTTCGGTTTTGGCGGGCCTACTACTTCTCGTATTTTATGGAAGAACTATACTAGCAATTATTGGCACCTGGGCGGGGTTGGTGTATGTACTGGTAGTTTCGTTTCATGTTCTCTGGCTCAGGGAGTTGTTCTTTTTTTTATTTTTTATTTTTATTTTTTATATTTCGTCATTTCGTTTAATGTTTGACAGGTGCACGCACGTGTGCATTCGCTAAATCGACTGGACCTTATTGGGAACTAGGAGGTAAGCTCCTTCGAGGCCTGTATTTTCGCACTATTCCGGGTTATAGTTTCGGGGAAGGGGGGTCATAAACACACAAAAAAAGGTTTTTTTTTTGGGGGGGGGGGAGGGGCTGCGCTTCTATTGAATTCGGTATATCTTCGTGCGGAGGTTTTGCTGGGCGATGGTGTTTTCTCTGCAATTTCCTTACTGGATTCGTATCTCACTTGGCCTTTAAAGTACATATTATCTCCATTTATGTTGGGTTTTCTCTTAGTTCTTGGTCTTTCTCTCCAATATACCCCAATTTTATTTTTTATTTTTATTTGCTTCAATTGTAATTTTTATGTATGCTGAATCATTGGCTTTGGGATATTGAGCAAAAAAATGGAAGCCAACGGCGAGAGCAAACAGGGGTGAGTGATATGTGGGAGGTTCTCGTTAGTCTAGAGAAGAACTTGACTAAACTGCATGCATGTAGGTACAGTGGGAAGACTTAACTCCACTACTAGCCAGAGACAGTTCAAAGTCCCCGGTTGGGCAGGTTAGGCCATTGAATAGCTATCGAGCTTTTCTTTCTGCTCTTTGAATTTTGTGCAGTAGAATTGCGGATGGCTAAAAAATTAGAGAAAAATTATAATGTAAGGCATAGTAATAAAGAAGCCGTCGGGAATGCGCAAAGGCATGACGATCAGAACGGTTAAACATTGCAGGCCACGGCTTTGCTCCGCCCCACTGCAAATCCGCGCGAATTGTTCGTTACTTCACATACATCTGATTGAATTGGCTCTCCCCTCTGTCCTCTCCCACGACCTTGCCTGCGTTTGCACGAGGATCATTCTGACCTCCAATGTAAATCAGGACTGTGGTTTTTATGAGCGCGTTGGAGGATTACGTGGCCCTTATTAAATAGTACCTTCCAGAGTAGAGTATAAAGCCGGTCACGTTTCTTCTACTTTCGGCTTTATCCTCCGACTACCAAGTGTTGAGGCTTAACGCTGAGTGGAGCAAGGTCGTGGCTGTTTGTGGTTTTGGCTTGGGCGTGCCTGAAAGCTTATTGGTAAGGCTGATCAAGAAAATGACTGTTGCGTTGTTCTTATTGTTGAGGTGCGAAGTGCGTGGTAAAGCAGAATTAATGGTAGTGGTCACATACCAAAAGCCCCTGATAGTAGCTAGAGACCGCTTGTTGCTTCCTTCTATGTCGGTGCCCTAGGCTTGGTATAGTTGAAAGGCTATGTAGAAGTGCTGTTTTTCATGCGGTGATGTGAATAATCATATCGAGGGAGCCATGGTATCTGTTTCGGGGAAGTTGAGGTTGGCATTCGGCACCTTGTTCGTCAGGAATCCTCGCGAGGATCGTAGGTTTATCTATTTTAGGTAGCAAAAAGAAAAGATAGAGAAAAAAGCAATGCGCTCTCCACATGTGCGGTAGCGAAAAGACAAACAATCGATAAAAAAGTAAAGTAAGGGATGTGATGTATAGGAATTCTTTATTCTATTCCCCCCCCTCAGGAAGGACCCATCTGTACCAAGTGGGATCTTAACGAGATCATTTCTGGGTGGTACAAAGATACAAATCTGCGCCACTCTTTTGCTGTGTCTGCGCGTCCATTTCGCTTTCGGCCTTGTGGGGTAGATAGAGAAGAGATACACCATGGGATTTGTATGTAGAAGAGTGCTAGTCGCATCAGCAGGCTCTGGGCAGAAATAATTGAGGATTAATTCTCTTGTTTACTTAACTCAGTTGCAGAAGAATCCCGGTTCCGGAACTAGCATTCCGGGTTGCAGCTGAACTGAGTACTGACAGAACGGCTACTGACCTTCCTTCCGGTTCGGCATGATTACCGCGTCAGGCCGGTTGACAGTATGTAAGAGCTTGTAAGAGTTGTGGTACTGAATGTGTGCAAAGCGCTTGGAGAGCTTGGTAAACTTAGTCGAATTATGTATGTACTCACCGGGACTTACTTTCTATTCCCTGGCGCATCAAGAAAGACGAGCCAGATGGCCCTGGCCAGGATAGGGTTATTGGGTAAGCCAAGGTAGAAAAAAGGTATTCCTGACAAATTATCCTGTATGTGAAGGTACTGGTGTCGATGAGCGAAGCCACGTATTTTTCCCTGGTGATATAAGGTTTTATCAAGCAAAATGGCTGTCAGTAGCCAAAAGCGCCCGGGGTCATGTCGGATATCCAATATCAAGCAAATACAGTACTGTATCTACGGACAATCCCATAGCGAGAAGACCTAGTTAAAATTTAGTATACACAATTATGATATTGTTTAGAGCACATACTACATACTCCAGCAGACGGGCACACGCTTAGAGTCAGCAATCTTCCGGTTGATTCTTTTTTGAGCCTCGTGATCGATCTCCAGCCATGCAATTGCCACGCCGAATGTTGGTGCCTGTATGTTGTGGAGTTTGTATTGAACAATACTACATCTAGTTAGCTAAAGGGAATTGATTGCGAGCCTGTTGCCTATCTAGGCCGCCCTCGTAGATAAATATTCGTACAAACCTTGTGTATCTACATACTTCGCTGCTCCCACTTGTGATATTTGTGAGTGGTGGTTGGGGTTGTGACTCATAACTATCGGAATCCTTCGTAATATGGAGAAACCATAGGAGGCATGAGTAATACTGATTGTTACATCATGGGGTTGTGGAAAAAGGAAAGAAATACTCACATGGAAGAACCCGAGAAGGTGGAGGAAGAAACGAAGAGAGAAAAGCGGCCCTGAGATAGAGGCGTAAGGCTAAGTATGTAGTACCTAAGGTGGGTTATGAACACAGAATTGATCGTGCAAAGGATCCGTGGGAGTCGTGTTGCTTGCTTTTTCAAACAAGCTTATGTACATCTTATGTGTTAAGCTGTATGTACAGATACATATACTCTACTCTGGGTACATGTATGTACATACATTTAGCTGGTTAGATCCTCGAAGATAAGATCTTTGCTGTTGGCTACATCTATGATACATGTAGGTATGTATCACAATTTAAAGAAACATCTGACCCCGGTTCATGAGCTGCCGCCTTCGCCTCCGTTAAACTGAGCCTTGCCGCCTGTCAAAACCGAAGAACCAGCCTGGAGGAAGAGAGAAATGAAAAAAAAAAAAAAAAAAAAAAAAATTAGAATGCCAAAGTGCTTCTAGAGTGACTGCTTCGAGATAATAAATAGATAGGTACCAGCCCCGCGACTCGCTGGGGTTGCGGAGAGGATCCTCTGAGCTGTCGCACGACATCATACACCAGAGTATTTGCAACCCATAGGCAGGTAGACCCGCAGGACCAGCTGCATCCTTTCCTGCACGCCCCTCCTGCGCCCACGCCCGTTTGGGCTGTAATTGACAGCCTCACTTCACCACTCAACCACTCACTCACTCAACTCCTCGGTGTTCGGGTCTCGCGTCGCCCCAGACAACAGGAGTACTCTAGAGCACCTAGAGAGCTTCACCAAACCGTAAGTGTGTTTATGTTTTACGTAGGGGTCTGCCTGCTTGGTTGATTGCTTCACTCTGAGCGCATCTTTCTGTGTGCGTCTCTCTCAGTCCGTCTATCACTCACTTTCAATCATTCTCACTTCCTTACTCTGCTGGCCCTCTATTACCTGTTGTCATAGCTGCTGCCCAGACTTCCACCTCTGCCTCTGCCTCTGCCTCATCCTGCGCGTGCTCCTTCTGAGACGAACGACACCCCTCAGTGCGTTTCTATCTATCTTTCGAATCTCCTCCAAACAGGCCTCGACACCTTGCGCTCTCCACCTACTTTCGCGACGAAACAAGGTTATCATTAAGCTCCCTACCTCCTTCACGCTCACAGCTCACCCAAACCGCTACTTGCACCCCTCCATTACCCGCCTTGGTTGGTCCACGCAACAAACTTCAGCCGACTTTTTCTTTTTTCTTTCCTTTTTCTGTCCTCTACTTCTAGCTGGTTTTGTTTCTGTTGGAGGTGTTCTGCTTCCTTCTTTTCTTCCGTCTTTACTCACATTTCTCCCTCCCTCGGCTCCCTAGGAAGAAGCAAAAATAATATAGCTATCACGGAATAGTCGACTGCCTACAACCTCACACTTCCCTGTCATGGCTTCCCTAAATGCTTCTCAAGAAGCCCTTCGCGATAACATTCGATTCTGCCAGCAGCAAATGGATACGCATAACCTTAACGACCCAAGACAACAAGAATGGGGGAACTCAATGGGAGAAATGAAAGACCAGTTGATGGATTCATCAGGTCAAGGAAGCAGCGGGAGTGGAGATTCTAGTCCATCTTATGCAAGCCTGTCGTTGGGACACGGCGATCGTGGGAGGAAACGAGATAGAGACCACGATCCGGTCGAGCTTCAGTATCTTGGCATTCGTGAAGCGAAGTCACAGAAGACTACGCCGAGTCCAATTCCGATGGTACTGCCGGGGATTATGGACACTGGCAATGGGGGAAGCTCGTATGGGTATCTTCCGCGACTAAGGTAGCACGCATTTCATTTATTCAACAAGTAACCTTATTCTATAAATCTTTCATACCATCCTAACAATAGGATCATTATTGACCGTATTAGGGATCCTGGATTATCTCGGTCTACGCCAAATTTGGTCAACCTCATTGACCGAGAGAATGAGATGGGGCGAATTTCAAGCAATAATCTGCAGGAATCCCAGCTATTCAGGCATATGCAGCCCTCACATGTAGTGTTACAACAATCACAATGGTCCCCCAAAGATATAGATAATGAAAGGTTCTTAACTTCTGCTCATATACCTCCCCTTACCTCCCCATGCTAATTATTGTTAAGGTTTAGGACTTCGAAGCCCGACGAGGAAATAGCCAGGGCCCTCCAAGATCTTTATAATAATCCCGAATACTCTTCAAGTGATTTCGGGGAACCCGGTCGTTCAGAACAACAGGTTGCGGATTCTCCCTTTTCTTCGCCACTGAGACCAGCTAGAAGCCAGATGTATCCTTATTCTCAGCCTTCAAATTCTATCGCCCCCCAAAATCGGCAAATTATTGAAGTTGATGATGACGAAAATGATAACGAAAATGGTTATTACCCAAACGGGGACTTACGGCTACCGCCCATGCGAACAAATGGAACATATGAAACACCAAGAAATACTGATCTAACCAGCTACCAGCCGGCTCGATGGGGAATTTTTGACCATGAATTCGACTATGATTTAGAACCGGTTATCAATGATCCATCACTGGCAATCGTAGATAGTCAGGGCAATTTGCTTCAGGATTTGGGTAAACAGTATAATGATGACTGGCCTGTACCTAATTCTCAGTCTCGTTACAAACCCGAAATCCATAGGTACATCGACCACATCCGTCACGATCCCACCAAAAGTTTAGATGAGATCAAGACTTTGATGGAAAATATCCGACCTGATATGGAAATACCCCCAGAGGACCGCGAGGGGACTCCTCCAGAGATGACCTACCCGCTTATGGAGCATCAAAAGCTTGGCTTGGCTTGGTTGAAGTCAATGGAAGAAGGAAGTAACAAGGGCGGAATCTTGGCGGATGACATGGGCCTTGGGAAAACGATACAGGCACTAGCACTCATGGTTTCCCGAAAATCTACCGACGAGGCCAGGAAAACCACGCTGATCCTAACACCTGTTGCACTGTTGAAACAGTGGGAGAGAGAGATTAAGGTAAAACTAAAGCCTGAAAATAGCTTGAAGGTTTGTATCCATCATGGCACTAGCAAAAAGGCCAAGTCTTTCGCAGACCTTGCAAAGTTTGATGGTAAGTTTTTGATTGATTAGGTCACCCACCAACATGATTGCTAAATTTTATTTAGTTGTTCTAACCACCTTCGGAACCGTCGGTAATGAATATAAAAAGAAACAGCTCTGGGAAACTCAAGGGCGTGAGGGTTCTCCTCCAGGACTCTTTTTTATCGGTGAAGAGAGCAAGTGGTATAGGGTCATTATTGATGAAGCTCAATGCATTAAGAACAAAGACACTCAGTATGCGAGGGGCTGCTGTTCCATTGATGCCGAATATCGACTTTGCTTGTCCGGAACTCCAATGCAAAACAGTTGCGATGAGTAAGTATTATCACGAATTAAGCTCTGATGAAAAGTCTGCTAATTGACCTTGCAGATTATTTTCACTCGTCAGGTTCCTCCAGATCAAGCCGTATAATGAATGGCCTGAATTCTCAAAGGTAGAATATGAAAATAAATTTGAATTATGGCATTTTTACTAAAAGAATGTGGAACAGAACTTCTCGAAACCACTCAAGGGCAAAAACGAGCTCTCTATCACTGCAGCGATCAGAAAGTTACAGGCACTGATGAAGGCAATATTGCTTCGCCGGACAAAATCGTCAATGATTGACGGCAAACCTATCCTCACACTACCGGAAAAGACAATCGAGATGGTGCATGCTGTTTTTAGCCCGGACGAACAAGCCTTCTACCAGTCTCTCCAGGATAAATCGGTTCTTGCATTCAACAAATATCTTCGTGCTAATACTGTGGGAAGAAACTATTCGAACATCTTGGTGCTTCTTTTACGCTTGAGGCAGGCATGTTGTCATCCGCATCTTATAAGGGATGCCGAGATGACGAATAATGAGCCAGTTGATGATAGAATGGGTCAGCTGGCAAGAGAATTAGCACCAGATACCGTAGCTAGACTCAAGGATTTTGACGCGTTCGAGTGCCCAAGTATGTTTCTCAGTAGCTATTCAAAGTGACCGGACTAATATCTTTATAGTTTGCCTTGATGCCGACGAAAACCCTTCAATAATTATACCTTGCGGTCATGCGGTACGAATCTTTCTCTTTCTTCTCTGTGTTCAAACACTAACACCAGCGTCTAGTTCTGTTCCGAATGTCTCGCTAGACTCCACACTCAGCATATAGACTCGACCATTCAACAGGGCGATGAGGATAAGGGGGGATGCAGATGTCCTAAATGTCGGGGCGAGATAAATGTGGACAGAGTGATTAACCTGGCCACTTTCCGTAAAGTTCACCAACCAGAAACCTTAAAACCTGGCGATAAAGATCAGAATCCGGAGGATGGTGACCTGATTTTTGATACGGATGATGATGATGATGAAGAAGATGAAGAGGAGGATGATGATGAAGATCTTGTGGATTTTGTAGTTCCTGATTCGGAAGAAGGAACGGATGATGGTCTTGAAACTTCTGATCGTAAAAAGCCCGCTAAGAAGGCTCCGAAGAAAAAGGATGCTAAGGGCAAGGGAAAGGCGAAGGTGAAAGCCCCGCCAAGGACTCTCGCGGAGGTTAGAAAGGATGCCATGAGAAATGCTAAGAGCAAGAGGCAATGTACGTGTTTTCTTCCTCGTAGAAAGTCATGAAAACTAATACTTGTTTAGATATGAAGCATCTCCAGAAACGGTGGATAAGTAGCGCCAAGATTGACAAATGTGTCGAAATTCTCGAAAGCGTTGAACGAAACGATCCAACGGAGAAGACGATCGTTTTCAGCCAGTTTACATCACTATTGGATCTTATTGAAGTGCCGATTAGTGCTAGAGGCTGGAAATACAGGCGTTATGACGGCGGAATGTCGAGCACACATCGCAATCAAGCCCTCTTGGATTTTACAGATAAGGCCGAAGTTAACATCATCTTGGTCAGCCTCAAGGCGGGTAACTCCGGCCTGAATTTGGTTGCTGCATCTCAAGTTATCATTCTGGACCCGTTTTATAATCCCTTCATTGAGAGTCAGGCTATCGACCGTGCACATCGAATCGGTCAACAGCGCCAGGTCTTTGTCCACAGACTTGTTGTAGAGAAGACAGTCGAGGATCGTGTTCTTGCGTTACAAGATAAGAAAAGAAAATTGATTGAGGGTGCTCTTGATGAAAATGCTTCCAAGGGCATTGGCAGGTTGAATTCGAGAGATTTGGGATTCCTATTTGTATGTTTTTGACCCCAATCTCTATGCGCTTTATACGGCTACTATAGAAACTAACAATATTTTAGGGTGTCCAAATTCATGATTAAGTGCGCGACTATAGATATATATATATATATATTTTTAGTTCTCGGTCAACCCTAGATATTCATATCCCGCCCTGGACGCTATGGCTATGATATGTTGGCTTGAACTCATGGGGTGTTTTTACTTTTCCGGAGTATCATGTATTGTCCCATTCATTTTATTACTTCTATCCGTTTTTATTTTTTATTTCTTTATTTTTATTTTTTCACGGAAATCTGTTTAGGTTTAGAGGATATATTTACCATGGATGGCGTTTTTCTTTTTCTTTTTTTGTTGCATTGTCATTCCCTTTGTGGTTTATTATTTCATTATCTTGGTTCATTCGTTTTCCACGATTCATGGTCTTTATCGTTTCCGGTCTCATCTTTTTCTCCGATTATTTACATAGGGTGGTGCTTTTCTTTAGGGGTTAAGGAGCTAGCTATACAAATTTAGGTTAAGGAATCAGGGTGTAATAGTTGCTATTAACGTTCATAAAAATCAATTCACTAGGTTTTATTTTATTTCGTGTAGCCTGCTGATTGTGAGTGCTGCCCTATGCTATGCTGTATTTTATTTGTTTTCTATTCAAGGTGGGAATGTTTTCACCATACCAATAATACACAACAAATGAAATCCCAAGTCCCTACTCATTATTGGGATTTCAGATAACCAGTAACAGTATGAGAGAACTGGCCGCGTGTTCCTATGAAACAAAGATTACGAGATCACACACCTGTAGGTACTGCACATGCCTCCAGCTAATCATCAATAAACTCATGTTGTTTCATCACTCATTTAAACTTTCCCTTTCATATCAAAACGCTTGCAAAACGGGCCGAGGGCAAGAAACAAGGGAAGGGGGAAAAAGAAAAAAAGCCCATTCCGATTCGCCGGGCGATTGGGGCCACCACCGCCCATGCAGGTAGGGTAGAGGTACATATATCTGTTTTCCATAAAGTGGTCCAAGCTCCCGATGTTTTTATTTCCCCTTTACGAATAATAAACCTGCGAGGTCGGAGGTGTTGTTGGTCCACAGAGGAGCGTTACATAGATAATCGGGTTCCGAGAAAGTGGCCCAAGCTCTATCTTGGTGTGGTTGGTGTGTATGGTATGGAGTAGATTAGGTGGGAGAATTGATTGATTGATTGATTGATTGATTAAACGCAGGAGGAGGGGGAGGGGGAGGGGTAGGGGGGAGGGGGGAGGGGGGAGGGGGGAGGGGTAGGAGGAGGAGCAGAAGCAGGAGGAGGAGCAGGCACGATCAAAAGGGTTCTGGGGTACCGCTTACCACGTGTAATTGGAATCGAGATTTAATCGATGTTTCAGGTTTCGATCACGCGCTTCTTGACCGGGAAAGTGGCAAGGAAGGGTGGGCAGGCGGGTATGTTCGATAGACATAGTTTATCTCTATCTAGAAGTACCAATCTATCGTACCTACATGTCAGTTATGTTTTATTTTTACGATTGATCTTTTCAATGGGATGATGATTGTTCTTCATTCTATGTATGCTGGCTTTCTTCTTTCGCCGGATGGAAGCATTGGTATACCGGGGTTATGGTGATGATGGGGTGTGCTGAAACCAGAGAGGGGAAAAAAAAAGGGCTTCCTACCAATGGCGTGCCATGCACAGATAAAAGATTCCATCAACGAGTGATTTTTGATGCTCCAACCATTGGTGTGTGTGTAGTGTTGCCAAGACCCATGGGGTGAGGTAACCGCCAAGATGCTTCTGGAATCATTTCCTCAGAGACAACGTCAGGCAAGGGACGGCTCCTCTTGGCACAATGACCCGCGGAGGATTTCTCCCCCTTCCCCCGCTTACTCTACTCTACAATGATGGTGATAGGAAGCGAGCGGAGAGGTAAGGTAAGGGTTGCCCAATTTACAGATTAGTTATGTAACACCAAGCTCGCTCCTCCTCCCTCCTCCTCTACCAGAGGCCACAGCGCACTGCGATTACCCATTCTCACTTTTTCACTCAGGCAAAGAATCGTACGTCTGGGGCGGCCACTCACATGTGACTCAGAGGGAAAGGGCCGGGTAGTTGCTGGGGGAATTAGTTCGCAGAAATGACTGTCATTGGATATTGGAGTCATAGGCGGTGGCAGGGCAGGGCAGATGCTGCCGACAGGGGAGATGTGGGTTGATCTCAACGGCAGTGATCGCCGGATGATTGGGTTGGGGTTTGGTTTTGGCGGACGGGTACTTATCGTAATATCCCGTAGTGTTGGCTATCTGGGTGTGCCAAGATCTGGGCATCTGGTGTGCCAGTAGGATGCCAGTGAGGTTGGGCCTATGACTGAACCCTACAGTTCTGTGCTCCAGATTGGACACAGCCCAGCTAGCGTTTTCAGAGGGTAACGCGTTTCGAGAACTAATTGAAAACATGCATGCGCACTCGGAATATTAGTAAGGTTGGCTTTGTGTCCGAGACAAACCCTGGCGTCCAAGATCTTGAGAGTATTTTTAATGAGGGCTCAAGACTTAAAAAAGGGCTGTAGATATTTGCTTCTTTTGGTTTTTTTTGCTGTTTTCTTTTATCCAAAGGGCCGAGTACCTAAGTAGATAATTAAATTGATACCCTGACCCAAGATCCCAAGTCTAGGTATGTACTGTCATATATCGCCGATTCAAGACCCTGCGGGGGCGTTCAGAAGACAAAATAATATCCTAGCCTCGTCTCGTATTACGCCATCACTAGTAACGGTCTTTATTCTTAAAACCATTCTATTTCTTGTGTAAGCTGTGGCTTGCGTCTGGGTAGTTCGCCCATCCTTTCTGACAATTATTTTGTCTTCATTGAATTCTAGAATAATCTCAAGGTATCTTCGAGCTCTGTTTTATCAACTCTGAGCTGTATAATGACTTCTCAAAGCAGCAAGCCTCCCTCCTCTTTTGTATATTGCACCGCCACATGCTCATACACTTCTCTAGAAAAAGTGTCTTTATTGATATATCCCTCTGGAATCGTAGATGTGTCTCTCATTTCGACCCGTCTTATATGCCATAAACGTTTTGATATTCCAGAGCTTCTACAGTCTGATGGCTCCAATCTAAACGTTAGGTCATTTCTTTTCGAATTGAGGCCATGAAAATTAAACCTCAAGACCGTATCATGGCTATCTACTAGCAACGTCGCATAGAATATTGGTCACGTGGGGGCCACATAAAGTGTAAATGATGGAACTACCACCTTTACTCTTCACGTGGCCTATATTCCAAGCGACGTTGCTCATAGGCATAGCCATCAAAACTCCTGGCTCATTAATGCCATATGATATGAGGAGTGTTCCTCAACTCAACCCTATCCGGACCAGGATTAATTCAGCGGCCAAGATGCGCAGTTGTATCAAACGTCTGATATGATGGACTTTTCCACTACCCGCGAGCAATTAGTGTAGGATCTACATCCCAACAATTCAAGCCCAGTCATAGTCTGTCAGTCCAGGTGAGTGGGCTGTACTGTGGAAGTGTCTATTCCAAGTGCTAACTGAGTATCGATGAGCGTCAAACAATCAATTCAACCGTCTCCGTTTTGCAAGGCCATGGTGCCGATTCATAGCTCATATCGTGCCCTCTCCAATCGGGTATTACGAATTAATACCCAACCTCCTCTCAACTTACGGAAGACAGGGTTGATGTAGACTCAGTCTCAAGTATTCTCCCCCAGCCTCCGAACGGCACTTTCTCCACGAAGGAAAACACCCATATTGGCGGTGTGCATTTGCCCGTGAGTACTAGTGTATAACAATGCGCGTGCGCGCCCCTTCATGACTTGTGACTCATCTGCTAGAGTATGGAGACTGAGTCTGGGACGCCAGATTAATATGACCGTCTCCGGCGGGGAGGCGAGGAGGGGTGACTCTTGCGGCAAAGACGCAGCCTTCCAATTAATATTGCGCCTCTACTGCGCACTCCCAACCCCAACCCCCCCCCCCCCCCCCTGGGGGGGCACCCCGCACGGGAGTCACAACGCTCGTCTAGCGTAGGCTCGCCAAAAGTCTAAATTGACAGGGGCGTCTGTATTCCTGAGTCAAAATCAACAGGGCCTCTATGGCTGTTTGTTCGCCGCCTTTAGCTAAGAGACAGCAGCCTTCCCGAATCCGAATTTTCGTCCTGTTCTAGACACGACTCGTCTTTAGCATCTACCGCCAAAACTCGATAAATTGGCTAGCCCTCGTGAGATCAAAGTTACTTCTATAGAAACTTCTAGCGCAGATCGATGCCATTTAACTAATTACTTGATTAGAGATAATCCCTGGATGGAGATAGCCAATTTTTCGAGTTTTAGCGGTAGAGTATCCACCACCTCTCTTGGTATTAATGTCGATGTCGAAGCCGTCGGTCCGGCAACGGGAAGAACAAGGGGACGGGGGAGGGGTGGCGGTGGGGTGGCTGCCTACTTATAAACAATGGAGCGGGTAAGTTAGCAAACATTGCGTGCTCATGGCCGCGGTTGTTGCGGTGGCTGTCATGATGACATATTGTCACACCGGAATTAAAAAGAGGAGATATGGGAGCTAGTATCGCCTGGTCGGCCGAGACCTGCTCAGAATCTGATGCTCTGCAGCCTTGGCAACTTTGGACCAAAAATTACTGTTTGTGGGAGTTGCTTGTGGAAATCTCAACTATATCATTACCCTATATGGAAAGCCAAGAACCAAGTTTGTACGATATGCAGAGCACCAGATTCTCGGCCGACCAGGCGATAGCTACCAGCTTAGCTAAGTACCTGTAGCTTGATCTTAGGGCGCGTTCTACTGTAGCGTAATATATACCCGATCCCTCTATCACCATGTTCATTTTTTTTTTTTTTTCTTTCTTGTTGCGGTGTTCTGGTGACCGTAAACATGGGCCAATATCACGATCTATTGTATTTCCAATTGGCAATAATTCAAAATGGAATAATGAATACCATCATATGTACCCAGCGCAAAATAAACTATGTAGCTCATCACCCTAATCTCTTTGTTCGCTGAATTCACCATGCTGCAAAAACTTCGGGTATGCTAGATTGTGATCTTGCAACCTCGGTGTAAAGCATTTGCAGGACACGACGTTTAGTACGCGAAAGTTATGGCCGGGGGGGGTCTAACCTTAGGTATTAATATTGCGGGTTCGTTACGTCAAAGTCCCCCGTTTCGTCTAGATACTTTTGAAAACGCTAATACAACACCTACATGTAGTTAGTTAGACCACCGTGAGGGTAGGGTCAATGATATTTTCGCGGATAACCTCTACTCGGTGCTACTAAACCAGTCTGCGTAACTAATGCAGACCACATGTAGCTAGTACCTATACCGGGGACTAGACTAGCCAAACTCACCTCGCCTAACCAACTCCAACTACCTCTTCTCTTGGCAGTATCAATATCACGGGCAATGATCAATCTACCAGTTTTCCCACCCCCCCCCCCTCTGGGTCTGCGGACAATCATGACTTCTTTTGTTCTTCGCCCACCAGCGCCCTCCTATTCGCCCAGCGACAAGGCGACAGAGCGTCCGTGCAACGTTACATGCATCGCCACGTCGATTGCCTGCCTGGGCGCTTAAGGCCCCCCTCCGGGCCGCAATAGTCAAAACAAAACGCCCGCCCACGGCGATAGTTAACCTGTACCCACGGAGAGACCTGTACCCACGGAGAGACCTGTACCCACGGAGAGACCTGTACGGTGCTGTACTGTAATCAGGCAGTGTGCTGAGACCGAGACCGCCGCCCACAATGTTCCGCCTCCCCAGAGCCCGCAAGGACCCCACCGTCGACGCCGACGCCGACGCCGACGAGAACTCCAGCAACTCTGCCCCCACGTCAACATACACCGACAGCGACGCGTCGTCGTCCGAAGAGGCCTACGAGCCCGGCCCCTCCTCCTCTCGCACTACTAAACGAAAACCAAAACCTAAGTCCGAGCCCGAAGAGGCCTACGAGCCCGGCCCCTCCTCCCGCACTACCAAATCAAAACCAGAACCCAAGGCCAAACCTACAAAGCGGAAGCGCGTCTCCCGCGCCGGGCTCTCCGCACGCTCCAACGCCGAGCACCAGCGGCAGATCAAGCGCCAGCGCGCGGAGAACCAGCAGGCTGACGCCCAGCAGCAGGAGCAGGAGCAGGAGCTACGGACGGTCCCTGATGCGCTGGCGCCGGAGCTCATCTGTGTGCTGATCGGGCTGAACCCCGGTCTGGTGACGGCGGCGGTGGGCCACATGTATGCGCACCCGCGCAACCACTTCTGGCGGCTGATGCATGCGGGCGGGCTGACGCCGGACCGCGTGTGCCCGCCCGAGATGGACCAGCGGCTGCCGGAGGTGTATTCGCTGGGGCTGACGAACCTGGTTGAGCGCGCGTCGGCGGGGCAGGCGGACCTGAGCAGGGCGGAGATGGAGACGGGGGTGGCGGTGTGTGAGACGAAGCTTAGGAGGTGGAGGCCTGAGAGCGTGTGTATTGTGGGGAAGGGGATATGGGAGATTATTTGGCGGGCGAGGATGGGGAGGAGACTGGCGAAGGAGCAGTTTGTGTGGGGGTGGCAGGAGGAGAGGTGGGGTGCGGGCCCGGGGTGGGAGGGGACGAGGGTGTATGTGGTTCCCAGTACGAGCGGACTGGCGGCGGGGATCTCGATGGAGTTTAAGAGGGAGTGCTGGAGGACGTTGGGGGACTGGGTGCAGATGAGGAGGGGGGAGAGGGGGGAGGTGGCACCGAGGGCGGTGGAGTAAGCAGGGGCGGGAGGAGGGGCGGGAGGAGGAGATGCGGAGGAAAGGGGGGTGGAGGACGCCGACAGGGTGGCGGAGGAACATGAAGAGAACGAAGATCAGGCGGGAAATGCCTAGTTTGTAGTTAATTTTGTTTATTTGATATTTCATACATGGTACAGTGGAGTCCCGATATAGTACCTGGCATTATCGACAACACCATATCCTCGATTGCAATTGTAGCATATAGTTGGGCAATCCCAAACGAGTCGGTACGGGCAAATTTGTTCTCGATACAAGCATATTCTCGATAGTAGCACACGAAAATCCGTTCCCGACCATATGCTATCGAGACTCCACTAAAGTTAAGTAAGAATAAGATAGAGAAGCGTCTCGTATTGTGGTTGATTAAAAATAAAATGAAATCTTTCGTATCGTTAAGGTGCCCGAGAATCACAATGTCTCACTCGCCTGGTGGTGACTTTTCGAGGATTGATTGTTTGGTCGATTATAATTGACCTAGTGATTCGTTCGGCAAGATTTGGGAGAGCTAAACACATTAGCATATTTTATAAGATGTCATTGAGAAGTAAGTGTATGCATACTAACGCTGCAGCACAGATGTAAAAGATAAAGCCCCTCTGGCAGCACAGCACAGCACAGCACTCAATCCCTATTCTTCCCTCCAGAGACCAGTTTCTGTTTCTTGGCACCGTGAAGAATCCTGTTCCCTGCACCGTAGGTAGTCGTAGCCTTTCTCTTAGTCGCCGCGGACGGAATATTTGGCGGGGCAATCGGCAGGGGCGAGGAAACCGGCAGCGGTGAGGAAACCAGCGGCGAAGAGACAGCCGGTGAGGATGCCAGCACCAGAACGTCCTCGGCCTCCATGAGTCGCCCAGTCTCACTACTGAGATCACTAAGCTCGCTGCTTGACGACAGAGGGACTGCCACCCGATCCCCGCCGTTCTCGATTGGGAGCGCATCATCGCTAAGGGGAGGCGGCGAGCTGAGCTCACTAGAATCATTGTCAAGCAAAGGTTCTGGGAGATCGCTGCTAAGGTCATCATCCAGTGAGAGATCGCTGCTAAGATCATCATCCAGTGCAGCGGACTGAGTTTCAGCGAGATCACTGCTGTAGCAGTAATAACCAGAACAGTTGCAGGCTTGTGATTGCTGGGCGTCGGTGCTGTGCGGCTGCTGCGGCAAGCCATACTCGCTCGAGGGGCTCTCGTAGTCGGAGTCGACGACCGAAGCCCCAGGGCTTGTTGGGTCGGACGTGGAGACGTTGGCAATCAGAGCAGGCAAAGAGGGCTCAGAGTCCATATTCTCGCGGAATGCATTATTTGCAGGGCCCGGGGGTGTGGAAGGATAAACCACAGAGTGTGTATCGACCTCGCTGACTGGATCGTCAAAGACGGCGAGGGGGTCGGTGATGCATTCAGTCTCCATCGAGGTTGATCTTTCCTCTCGCTTTCTGTGCTTAGGCTTAGTCTTGGAGGTGGGGGTTGTGGTATGTTTGCTCATTGTGAGTGGTGATGATGATGACGATGATTGTGGGATAGATGGAGAGGTGGAAAGATGAAGGAGGGCTGACCTTGGTCTTGTGTGCGTCGCACACCGGAGGCTCGCTATGAACGAGGCCTGTGATAGGGTTTCGTGACTGCTGTCTGTGCAGTAGTTCACGATCGGGCCTACAACCGCAGCAATGAGTGAAGGGAGACCGCATGGTGTGGCGCGCTGCCTGAGATCCCCGCGGTGCTGATCCCCGCAGTACTTATCCCCGCAGAATTGCTGCATTGAGACTGGCACTGGCCGCCCCTCGTAGCTTGCTTCTGTGGAGTGTCAGCAGCCAGGCCAGGCGGGGTGGATAGGGTGAGTACATCAAACACCTGTCTTCAGGATAGGTTTTGTATTTTGTCGTCGTGGGGTTGAAGCATATATATTGAGTATCTATGAGATGGCCTACGTGTAACTAAGAACGAGAACAGAAGAAACAAGCTCCTTTGATAATGAGCCAAAGCCGTGATAAGTAGACAAGTATTATCAAGACAACCAAACTCAAAGGAGAGAAAGAAACTGCCTCACCATATATATTACTGGCAGCGATAAATTTGGTTTTGAACGCGTAGGCACTAATCCTGTCCCCCCTTATAGCTCAGATGGACAAGACGGGGCCAAGCGCTTATAGGGGACAAGCCGAAGAGCTAGAGATAGGCTGCAAATCTAATTACATGTACTCGCGACAGGCATGAAGTACCCGAATATGCAGCTGCAAGTTTTTGGTGTATTTTTGACTTCTACTCCAATGGAAATTGCAGATTAGGACGTGCATTTTCGGGTACTTGTTATCTGCTGCGAGTAGTATATACATGTAGCTATACCGAGTATGCAATGTGTATTTTAAAGGTTTTGGTTGGCTGTGTTTTGGGTGTTTCCTTTTCTCGAGCTATTGATATTTATGGTGGAGAGTCAGCTAAAAAGAAAGGTTATGTTGGAGGTTATGTTAGGTTACCGTTTCTTTTTGTTGTTATTGAAATATTCTGCTATTCGGTGATTGTGATATGTTTTGTGACTTTGAGATGTTTGGGATTATGATGTGTTTTGGGATTGTGATATATCAACGGTATACCACTTTAGCAGAGCAGGGCAGAGGCAGTACACCTCTCTGGTGACACTCTTCACTAGGTATTCTTTATTTCATTATCCTCACCGGCCAAAGGCCGGAACCGGCTTGTATATGTATAGGCCAGTTGATTCTGCTTGCGTTTGCTTGTGTTATTTCTGGTGGATGGATGTTACAATTGCTTCATGGATTCTCACTCGACATGCTTAGTACATGTAGTACACGGTGCTGCCGGAGATCGTAGCAGACATGTACCACTATCAGGACATGTAAGACTTCCCGGAGAAGATATTTTTTGTGTGACGAATATGAAAGGCCAGGTAACTACTTTGTAAAGATCTAGAATGCTCCTCCTGTGTCTTCTCTTCTCCTCCCCCCCCCGATGATCATGAGCCGATCATAGTACTCCCAGCTATTCCATCAAACTCTACATACTCTATGCTATACTCCAAGAAAAGACTATAGCTAGGAAAAGCAAGAAAAAGATAACTCCATTAACTGTTTCATGACTTCTACCCTCTACAGACACTACCCCCACCTCCCCTTCTTCCTTATCCCACCCCCACTTCCGCTCGCATCCCCACTGCCAGACCTCTTACTCCCCACCCGCCCCGAAAGAGGTGGTAGCTGTGGTACCGGTTCAGGACTACCTTCAAACAGCAGCAGAATCGGCGGGCTACTCGGGTACTCAGACTTGACGGATCCAGGCGGACTGTACGGCGTGCTTCTAGCAGGAGCAGACGGAGCTCCAAAGTTAGGGCGAAGCGAAAGCACCATAATTCTACGCGGGGGACTAGGGGGCTCAATCCGAGCATCGCTATCGTCGGGATGGTGCTCAGGTGTCGTGGCTCCACGATGGCTGTTAGGGGGCTCAGCCAGGAAGGCTCTGCGTCTGTGACTGGCACTAATTCTTGCTCTTGCTATAGCACCCTTCTCGGCTGAACGACCATGCACTCTCTGAGAACCCGCCCTGGCATTGCCACGGCCTCCCAACGCCTCCAACTCAGCCGACAGTCTCGCAGCGCCAGCTGCTCCCGTCAGGGGGGACATAAAGGGGTCTCCGAACGGCGAGGGAGGCCTGTAGGGGCTGCTGGAGCTGATGTAAGGCTGCTCAGCTGTGAGGGGTGAGGCAGCGGCGGGGGTGGGTGTGTAGAGACGCACTGGCGAGCTGTCAAGTTCCTTCTCCTTGAGAACGACTTCATCCTCTTCGAGCTCCGCGGGTGGGGAGAAGGTCGGTGAATATCGCTCCCTGTCAAGCTGTGGCACCCATTCGGTATCATCGTCCTCCTCGTCCTCCTCCTTCTTGAAAAAGACTTCCTCTTCCTCTTTCTCCTTCTTGATCACGGATTCATCTTCCTCATCTGACTCTATGGGCGGGATGAAAGTAGGCGGATACCCCTCCCTGTCCAGCAACGGCACCCATTCTTCTTCGTCCTCCCCCGCAGCTTCAGGCGTTGGGGTGCGAGTATTGACGGGCGGGAGGTAGGTGGACCGGTAGCCGAGGAGGTCCATCTGAGGGATCCATATACTAGCTTGGTCGACGCATGGTCCGAGAGGGGGTCTGGAGCTGCGACGCGAAGGGAGGGGTTCTTCGTCGTCACCCGATTCTTCTTTGATGGGGGCTTCTTCTCCTTCTTCTTCGGCGGAGAAGGATTCTTCTTCTTTGACGAAGACTTTCACCTCTTCCTCCTCCCTCCCCTCCTCCTCCTCTCCTTCTTTAATGAAGACTGGGGTCGCCATTATGAAGATAGTTGGTCACAGGTTCTCACTCGTGTTATGTTGTACGGTGGTTGGTTTAGATGGCGTTAGGTGTCGGCTATGCTGGTTGGTCGTATTACTGGCGAGTGACGTTCTATGATCCCCGCGGATTGCAGATGTTTGTGTTGCTAGGTTTTTTGTTTGCGGTATGTGGGAGGTCAATGTCTCTTGACGGATTAAAATATAAGTAAGAACCCCCTCCCGTGTGTGCGAAAGTACAATAAGTTCTAATGCCTATTAAGTTCATCTCATTCAACCTCAATAACAAACAACGAACGACCCGACTGCCTAAATAACTTATTTATATTCTCGTCTCGCGCATTGAATGCTACAGCTCAATAAGTCCACCATAATATCTCACCCCGACCATAAATCCACTATTCTATTGAAACAATCAATCAACCCATTCAATACTCTACAATCACAAAACCCTAACCCTTTGTTATACAAGCAGATACAGTCGCACCTCGCTATGCCGGATGCCAAGAACCAGACAATTCCATACGGGATCGCAAATATTCACGAAAAATCCGAGATAGCAAATTGGTTTTGCGGTAAGAGAATTAAAATCCCAGAGGATTTCGTACGGGACAGCAAGGGATCCGGGATATTGACTGTAAGGCTGAGATATATAAACTTGGCAACCCTGAGTTATACAAACTAACCTCAGTTATACAAACTAGCACTCAGTTATCCCAAAGTCCGGTCCGTCGAACCAGGCTGAGACTTTCGCCAAAAGTTTGGGGAGAGATCGGACATAGATTGGTTTAGATGGAATAATCGTTAACACTAGCACTCTTTCGGCCTCCCCTCAAAAGGGTCAGCAATGTCTCTCGGTAGAAGCCATCGGATGCGAACCAACCCCAACTGACTGAGGATTTTGACAGGTGATGGCGATAGGTTTCGATAGTCTCGAGATGGTCGCGTGCCTATCGCTACTCGCACCCCTGCATCATACCACACCAGTAAAGTAGGTGAACCGTTTTTACTTTTTTCCAACGTTGGTGGCTTGATCGATCGACATGTGAATACTGCATGATTGCAACCACACTCGGCCTCGAAGGGAGAAGGGGGAGAGAGCTCTTTATATACCCTTTCTCGGAGAATTTTTCTACACGCCAAGAGTGGGGGATGTGCAGCATTGTGGATCCAAGGGGTGGATCTTCGAGCGGCCTGTGCTCGATGTGTTGTCCGGAACTCTTAGGTCCGGCCTTAGTAGCCATTGTAATCATGAGACTTACATACGACCTCGATACATCTCTTACCAGCTACATGTACCGAGATGGCTATGCCAAAGACATCTGCCGTGGTTGTGTCTCTAGAGCGCTGGCACCATCAAGTTTTTGCGTTCGAGATACAATAGGTAGTCTACTTCGAATTTCTTACCGCGAAAACGAAAAAAAAAACTGGTTATCTCCGTCCTGGGAATGTCTCTCGAGTGATTGGTTGAGTTTCCCATAAAAGTAACCCTGACCTCACGGGAGTTAGCTAATTTTTCGAGCTTTGACGGTAGCTTGTCTTCTGGTGGTTATTTATATTCGACCCCTTGTTTCGAAGCTGTGAGAGAATCTTTGAGCTCAGCCGTGTTGGAGTTTCAAGTATCTCCTGTCTCTGTCTGCCTACCTGACAATGTCCCCCAAAATCCAATGGGGACCCCCCAGGCGAATAGCTAACTACAAGAAGCTGTCAAAATCCGAGTTAACGGGGACATGGGGCTGTGTCAAGGGGGAGAAGACTTTTCATAGGGAACGTTCTTTTCGAAGCCAGAGTGGAGAGCTAGTGGGCGGGGTGGTAACTAGATGAAGAGGGATGGGATGAGATGTGGCTGTAGGTTCCAACGTTTGCTATTACATACATGCCATACAAAAATGCGCCATGCTCATGATTTTGGGTGTCGTTATGCAACAGCAGCCTAGTTTACAAACGTCAGGAAAACACGAGTAAGTCGTCGTAGCCAACAAGAACCCGAGAATGCAAGCTGCAAGCAGGGTGTAGCTTTTTCACCAGTCGCGAATCAGAGGCCGTTACCATCAAACGTCGTTTCCTGGTTCTTCTTGACTGCCACGAGTATATCGTAATTGTAGCAACAGATTGGGCGATGGGAGGAGGAGGGTAGATGGTGGAAGAAAACGCAGAATATATATTAGTCTCCGAACCAAGCATATCGTGCAGTGCCGGAGTATACTCGAGCTGCATCAACCAGGGAGATCGAGAGGGAGATTAAGACTGGGACTGGGCACGCATATAGAGTGGTCTCCGGCTTCTAGAACGCACGACCAAACAAAGTCTGTCAAGCTGCATCAACGGCCGAGGTGGAAGACAGAAAACCGAACTGGACTAGGGGGCTGGACTGGATACGCATATAAGACCAATCCTCTCTCTAGGCCAGACTGCGCAAAAGAAATTAATTACAACCAGCTAGCTGTCAGCTATGAGGCAGACTGATTCGGTCCACATATGATATTATGCCCCCAGCCGCACCCCCATGCCACATTCCTCGAGCCCCAGGGTCAGGCTCTCTCTCAGCGCTGGGGAATGGACGAAATGATAGAACTGCATATTCTATGACCCTTCCATTTCGTGGGGGCCAGTGAGAAGATGGGATGGATGACCCTGCGCTGTTAGCTGTGGCGCGGGGGGGGGTAGCTGCAATGGTGGAGATGAGTTAAGGTTTTCTTATTTGTGACCCTAGCCCTGCAATGAGCAACGGTTTCGGTAGGGATGTGATCTGTACTACTAGAGAGTACATCGCGAACCTAGATCGTGGTAAGCAGATATGCATGGTGCATCTAATCTGCTCTAGAGCGGCATCTAATCTAGAATACACGCGGGTATCTGTCAGAGCGGGCGCGGTGTAGAGAAGGCAGACAAGACAGGCTGATTGACAAACTCGCTAGAGCATAGGCGTTTGTATGTTTGCTCGCCAATCGGTCGACCCAGCCCCTTGGGAAAGAGACACCCATTGGGAATTAAGGAGCCGCATGCAGGAACCGCGAGATTTGCAATTTGGGCTGAGATGGTTCAGATGTAGGGTGCATGTGGCACATCGGATGCAAGCTGGGTTGGGCTGGATTGGAAGGGGGGTGTTTGTAGTTGTGGATGCATTCATTAGCTGGGAGGGGGAGTGCTGGCTGACCATAGTATCTGGAGACTCTCTGTCTACCTGCTTCCAATACCATGCATGACCATGACCATCATCAGCCTCTCTCACTGACTCCTCTTCATCTCCTTCCTTATTCTACGGCCCCAAGCAAGCTACTAGGGCCGCCAAGCAAGCAGGCACCCACTAGTTGTTCAACGTCATTCCACCGCAACACCTACACATTCAATATCTGCACAGTGCACAAATGCCACCCAATCCGGATTCTGCACCCTCTACCACTCAGCATTATCATGTCAGCAATACCATCATCAGCATAGCCCAGGCAGGAGGACTCTTAAACCGCTGAGCCCTCGCAATACTCAGTGCTCTTTTACCAGTACGGAAAAAACAAACATCAACCTACATACCTAGTTCGCGATGCGCTCACCAATAATAACTCTCCTGCTCCTGCTCGCAGTTGCAAACGCAATCCCAACTGTAGATACCACTCAGGACGAGACTGAGTCCGTCTCCACAACGCCACTGCTCAACAGCATCCCCGCCACCGAAGACACCAACCCCCACTACCTCATCAAGCGTAAAGGCGGAGGAGGTGGTGGAGGTGGAGGTGGAGGTGGAGGAGGAGGAGGCGGAGGAGGAAGCGGCCGAGGCGGCGGCAGCAGCAGCAGTGGCAGCGGTAGTCGCAGCGGCGGCAGCAGCGGCACCGGCGCCGGCGGGTAATTCCCCCTTTCCCCCCTCTCCCAACACCACTAACACCCCACCAGGTCCCGCAGCACCGCTGGCGGCCGCACAACCACCGGCTCCGGCACCCCCCGCTCCGTCGGCGGCTTCTACGGCGGCGGCGCCAGTGTCCCTTTCACCAGCGGGCGCGCCTCGCCCAGCGGCCTGCTCCCCACGTTCCTCACGCTCTCGGCCATCTCCCTGTTCTTCAGCGGCGCCTGGCTGTACGGCGGCGTGTACAGCTACCGCTACGACAACCCCGTGCAGTACGAGAACGCCACGAGCAGCAGCAATGTCACGCTGCCCGTAGTGTGCCTGTGCCAGGAGTACGCCGTGTGTGGGTGCGACGAGAACCATGATCGCGCGTATGTGGATGCGATGGTGGGGAATGCGACGGAGGGGGGTGCGGTGAGTCGGTTGGAGGTGGTGAATGGGACGAGGACGTTGGTGCTGAATGGGACGTTGGAGAATGGGACGACGGCGGATGGGGGGACGGAGGTGGTTTCAGGTGGGGCGGCGAGGGCGAGGGAGGGGGCGGGGATGCTCATGTTGGTGGTTGTGGTGGGGGTGGGGGTGGTGTTGTTGTAGGTGGGGTGTTTTTGCGTTTCTTTTGTTGGTGGTGGTGATGATGAGGTGGGGGCTGCATGCATCGCGGCTTGTGACCTCGTGTTTACTATGCTTCTTGTAATGTTTCTTTTGTAATCGTTATAGACTTCTTTCTTCTTCGTCCTTCCTTCTTCTTCGTCCTTCCTTCTTCTTCGTCCTTCCTTCTTCTTCGTCCTTCCTTCTTCTTCGTCCTTCCTTCTTCTTCGTCCTTCCTTCTTCTTCGTCCTTCCTTCTTCTTCTTTGCCCCCTCTTCTTTCTTTCTTTTGTCCCCGCATCAGCATCAGGTGCATGGCGGACCACCCATCATTCTTCCACATGATGAGCCCTTTCCTTTCCTTTCCATACTTTCTTTTGTTGCTTCCTTTCCTTTCCGGCCCCCATGAATTCTTTAGATCATCCATATCCATAAGACGGATATATGTACAGCACATTATGGCGCAATGCAGTGTAGTGCAGTGTAGCCAACAGCCAGGAAATAAAAGCGTCACGCCCGCAATTGATGTTGGCCGAGTGACCATATAATATCATATCACATCCACATATGATATCCCGTGACTGGGCCTGTGTGACGTTGGTTAGTAGTTGGTGGGTGTGGGTTAGGGTTCCTTTGGTGTTGGATCGATGTGACGATGCTTTCTTTTGCAGCTAGCTGAAGAGGTTGAAAGTGAGGAAGTGAGGTTAGAAGTGAGGTGAGCAGGTGAGCTTAAGAAGGTTGAAGGGAGGATGAGGTAGCTGTGCAGGTTTCGAAACGCACCGATAACGGTGCCAACCATGCATGGGGTCGCGGCTGCACCCGCACCGCGCGCGTTGCAGGTGAGACATACAGTTAGGTGCAGATGTGATCGTTGGTACTAAGGACTACGTAATTTTGGCTGTGTTTATGCGGTTGTCGGATTACGGCTGGAGAAAGTGGTTCTTGGGGAAGCTGGGGAGTATATATTTTTTTTTCTTTCCTTTTGCTGATGGAAGGGGGGGGGAGGGGGGTGGTTTATCGGGTTGGTTTCTCGTGAGATTTGTCTTCGCTTATGATCATGAGGCTGAATACATGTAATCTACGTGTGGAGTGGGATTTGTTTTTGTTTACAAAAGTGTAGTTTTGCGGTTTTGCGGATCGAGTATCAATCTATCTAGATTCCCAGCGGTACCAAAAAAAAACAGCGCGAAACATGTACCCACCTACCAGTAGTTGGTAGCAGCAGTTGGTGGTTAGCCAATGCCAGCTACCAACCCCAATGCGCAGCCCTAATTAAACAAAAAAGTTCTCTCGTCTAGAGCTAGCTCCAGAAAACCCCAAACCTCAATTAATCCTTTTCCCGCCAAACGATCATTACCCCCGGTTGTATCTAACAATCTTATCTGATAATCAGTAGACCGGCCGAGGTCGAACGTGACGATATGCAATAAATATGCACGCCCAGAATAGGCAGTTGCTGTGCATGGCATAACATGGGTCTAACCAAGGCTGTCGTCTACCTAGGTTGACTTCCCCGGATTCTTGAGCTGAGCTTGTTGTGTACCTGTCTGTTATCACCGTCAAATGAGAGTGTCTGATAGTGAGCTTGAAGAGAGAAGGAATTGAAGAAGAGATACTTACCTATACACACCTATACCTACATACCTACAATACAAGATGAAGGGAATCCAGCTAAGCTCCTAGGTCAAGGTGAGCTCCTAGGTCAAGGTGAGCTCCCCCTACCTCCCCCTCTCAAGAGCGCGCACAGCTCACCCCCCAGGGTCCCGCCGACCTCACCGTCACAACCCTCCCCGACCCCGTCCCCGCCGCCACAAACTTCTTCGACCTCCTCCAAATCCGAGGCAAATACCAGCACGTCCGTCCCTGCCCTTACCCCCTCCTCCCTCTCCTCTCTTAGCAACCCCCTTCCCCTTCTAACAACCCCAACAGCAACCGCCCTTCGCCTGGATCTCCGGCATGGGGTTCGCCGGCGTAGTCCTCCACGCCCCCCTCCCCCACCGCCAAATACCCCGTCGGCACCGCCGTCTTCGGCGCAAAACAGGGCGCCTACGCAACGCTCGCCACCGCGAAAGAGGACGTCCTCCACGCCGTGCTCGTGCATGCGGGGGCCGGGGGCGTCGGGTTGGCCGCGGCGGGGACGGCGGCGAAGTCGGACGTGTGTAGAAGGTTTGGGGCGGACCATGGCGTGGATTATGGGAGCGCGAGGGTGCTGGAGCTGACGGGGGGGAGGGGCGTGGATGTGGTGTTTGATCCGGTGGGGATGGTGGAGGCGTCGTTGAAGTGTGTGGCGTGGAATGGGCGGGTGCTTGTGGCGGGGTCTGCGGGGGGGGGGGGGCGTGATTGAGAACGTGGCGCTGAACAGGGTGGGTGCTGTTGAAGAATGTTACTATTGTGGGGGTGCACTGGGGGGGGAAGTTCAAGCCCACTGTGTACGATAAGGAGTTTGTGGGATTGGCGAGCGTGGGGGCGGGAGAGAGACGTGGGGGAAGGTTGTGTGGTACAATGGTTTTGGTGTAAACGGGATAAGTTATCCCTCCTGGGGAGGATAAAAAATGGTCGAGACTTCCGCTTTGGGACGCACAAGATAAGTAACGGCCATATCAGGATATCGTATGCCATTTGAGGACATTTCGTGCCCCAATATGGTCTAGCTTATATTCAAAATTATATATCCTGTCTATGTAGTAGGATAAAGTCAGATTATAATATTGAATCTCATCGTGAGGCTTCGATCTCCTCCCCACCGAATTATATATCCAATTCCATCAACCAACATCTTCAGATCATCTCCTTCGGTGATCATATGGGCTTGTAACAGTTAGGAAATACAATTAATTGTTTAAAGGATAACATGCACATGAGTCTGGCGAAAGCGGGCATGGATGGGCGATCTATACCACGCCCATACCCGCCTCTATATGATACCGATCATGATGATGGTGATCATGATGATGGTGATATATTAGATTATCATGATGATGCCTACATGTACATGTATGTAGGCATTCGGGACTTATGTAGACGTTTTCACAGGTGTGCCTACCAGTACTGTCACGCAGGTGTCACGCAGGTGTGCCGTCCCCGCACTGCTGTCACACCGCTGTGCCGTCTCCGCCGCCTCCTGCCGCTTTCCCACTAGCAGATATCTTTTCTGAGTGATTAGGGCGAGTTTGAGCTTTTTCACGGATAAGACATGATCCTCCCTCAGAGGATACCACAGCACCAAAAAAGATATCCCATTATCTTTGATAAGTTATCTTTTTCAAATTGTACCATAGGGAGAAGGGGAGTCGTTTGTAGAATACACGATACACGATAGTTAGACCGCGTTCTGTAGCACTGTTAATGTAGGCACAAAACCTCAAAAAAAAAATTAGCTTGTTCTGGTTCACTCTTTAATTCGACTCTTCAAGAGCTGGAGGTAAAAAAAAAAAAGTGGTTTTCCGTAGCGGGAATCGAAACCCGGCCTCGCTGTCGTACTTGTTTCCTTTCGAGGGCATGCACAAACACATACGCCACTACTACGGAACCCGAAATAACTGTGTGTTGGGGGGGATTATAAAGACAGCTTTCCCTCTAGGTGTCTTCCTTAAGATGTGAGGTGAATCTAGGATGAAAGTTTTCAAGTCACCAAGTCTGCGGCCCCCAAGGCTGCCTTTTCACATCAACTAACTAGGGACATTTTCTTATAATAGTTTATTTAGGATTGCTCAGTATACAAATTGTAGAATCTACGTACTAAGTAGCTGGAAGCGTCGAAGATTTGACATTAAAATTGTGTCTATCACGGCGCCGTCGTGGGCATAAGATATTGTGATTACCAGGAACAGCTAACCCACACTAGAGGGGCCGGGGGGCCCTCCACTCTGCTTAATCCTCCGCTTTCTCTTTTTAGGCCCAGCCTGTCTGCGGTGTTTGTCCAGCTCACGTTTAGGATCCTTCCGCTCTTAGGCTCTCACCAGCTCTTTCACTTTCTTTCCCCGCAGCTAACCGCAACTACCAATGGAAGGGCCCGGATCGAATCCCCAGCGATAACGCATGTCACCAAAGCCAGCATCTACGGTCTCGACTCCATCACAGAGAAAAAATATGCCTTTACAGGCGGGAATTTCTAGGACCTATTGCTGAGTTAAGCCCGCAGATGCAAGTGTACGAAACAGGAGACATCTGTTACTCAACAGCGGAGACGCCATGTAGTCGAGTGATGGCTCATGAAGACGTCTAGTCTTATCCTGTCTGGCTACAGGTAGTTAGTGGTTCTAGCCCTACGACGGAGTCTTATCGCAGTAATGATGTGAACGATATGGAGAGAACAGAGGGGATTATCACGATCTCTCGTTGATTTGTAGAGTACATGCAGCGGCATGCAAGTCCAAATTATTAATCACAGAATATCACTCGGGATAAGTGAATTTATAACACGGTAGACCTAACCGAGAACCTTTGCAGGTGATCTCGCGTTGCCAGAAGATGTTAACCCTAGCAAGTCGAACAGCAGACGGGATCTGCCAACTAATACTAGAGGAATTATTCCGATGCCCCTTCACTCCTTTGGACGTTGAGACTCAAGTCCCTGTAAGATTATTATATATCACACGCCTAGGCCAGAACAAACAGTCCAGTTGACAGGACTGTTTATCAAGCATGTCGTTGGATGAATGCACTGGACCCTGGGCTGGGGACATCCAAATGATCTACCGCGCTAGACTTCGTATGAGGTGTCGAAACCGATTTAAGTTTTAGACTTTGATGAAGCCTAGTAAAAGCACAACTCATGGGGTGGACTCTATGAGTGTATGTATACCTACATCGTTCGCGGTCCCCTTTTCAGCGCTCTTAAGCAATATTGAAACGCACCTCTGATAGCGAACATCAACGATCTAGTGTCCCGTCCATTGATAGGAGACACAGCGGATAAATTGGAGCAACTGCTGTTTTGACATGGAAGGATATCCCCCGTCTGTCCGGAGTTCTCCTCCATCCCGCGCGGACAGCTTGCTTCAAACCAGGGATCGGGCCTTGTGCCACCCAACTTGGGCCGTTGTAAGAAAGCCTTAGCATCAAACGTTGCCAAGCTACATGTGGTTTCGAAACCAGTGTTTGGTGGCTGACACAATAACGGAGTCGGTCTTGGCAGAGGTCCGAGGCTTGTTACGACGACCACTTTGGCCCGTGATCCCAGGGGAGTCTGCTAACAAACAAATCTGTATCCAGTTTTGTTGGGTATGATACATCTAACCAATTGATCAGAGCTGCCGTTTGGCCGTCGGCCAATCAGTACAGGTAACAATAGAGACCAGATAAGGTGTTCGGCGCAGGCACCGTCTGATTGTTTCGTGGCTGCTTTTCTTAGAGGAAAAAAAAAATAACGTATACCGTTGCTTCTTCACTGCTAGAGCCAATGTGGTCTGCCTGGCTCTAACACAACACTTGTGCCTATGTCTCCAACGTCGCCTGCCAGTTCCTAGATCAACTGCCGTCAAAACCACCACTGTGGGTTTCATTATGGCAGCTGTTATTTCTGTGGGGCTCCAGAAGGATTTGTTTACCCATCCTGGGCTGATGAGACACGCAGATTCTAGAACTTCCTATCTCAGTAGTCTTCCAGCGGTGCCAAAGTCAATCATCCTGACGCCCAATCAACCAGTCATGCTCTATTATCTGATGAAAGATTACCTGAATTACTTGAATAGGAGCCCTGAAATATGCAGGTCTCACCAACCCAAGGGCGAAAATTTTCGCTTCCCTCAGGGCAAGGGCTGTTTGGCTACCACGGTGCACTGACTTCCTCCCGTAACGTTAACGACGGTCTCCAAAACAGATCCAAGACACCACCACCAACGCGAGCCGTCAATCGCAGAACGAAAATAGAAGCGCCTTACGCGCATCACTACGCGCGCACATGAGACAGCTCCCGAGTCGCGATATCCAGTTACTCAGCAGCCGATATTCTTGGCCAGAACGCTTGATTGGCCAGCAGCGAACGTAGCGAATGCAGGGGATAATATCAAGGCACTAACCGCCAAAAAAGCAGTTGGATCGATCTACATAACTTAAAACTTTAGTATTTGTCAATGATCCGCAGAAGGGTTTCTAATCCAGGGATCCGGGTTTTGGGGGTGTCGAAAAGCTTGTATTGGGCGGGAACTGGGGGTCTTTATAAACCTTTGGGATCCCGCCGGTCTCGATTTTTTTTTCTCTCACCAGCTCTTCAGTCCATACTCGATTCACATTCGATATTGTTGATCAATACTTTCCTTATTTCCTTCTTTCTTCTCTCTTTCCACAAGAATCTCCAGAGCGGTGCTCTCCACTTCTTTCTTTAAAAACCCACTTACTTCCAAACAACCAAGATGCAATACGCTCTTATACTCTCCCTCCTCCTCCCCCTCACCACCGCCTCCCCGGTGCCCCAAAACGGCGGCAAAAACGCCCAATCAATTCCCCTCGCCATCGCCGAGAACCAGCAATTCAAGACTCTCGCCGCCGGCTCGCACTGCGACCCCGCCACCCAGCCCGCCGCCTGCATCAAAGACCAATTCGCCCAATGCGTCAACGGCGCCTTCTCTGCCGGCACTGCATGCGCGGGCGGGCTAAAATGCTTCTCGCTCCCGCTCGTCAACAAGGTTGGGACCAGCGTGACCTGCACCTCAGACACAGATGCGGCCGCGAGAATGGGTTTTGCGAGTGTTGCGGAGCTGAACCAGGCGTTTGGGAACGCGGTGACGGCGTCGTTGGCGGCGCTAAGAACTGGGGAGCGCGGTAGCAAAGCGGGGCTTAATAGCAATGACAAGCCCAAGGCGGACGAGCAGGGCGGGACGGGCGAGAATGGAGCGGGCAATTCTACGCAAGTTGAGCATGCGGGACATGCTGGTGCTGCTGGTGGTGGTGCATCTGCTGGCGATGCGGCCGGTGGTGCATATGGAGGCGGCGCTGCGGGTGATGCTGCTGGTGGTGCTGCTGGTGCAGGAAACGAAGGCGCCGCTGCCGGTGGTGCTGCGGGTGATGCTGCTGGTGGTGCTGCGGGTGATGTTGCTGGTGGTGCTGCGGGTGATGCTGCTGGTGGTGCTGCGGGTGATGCTGCTGGTGGTGCTGCTGGTGCAGGACACAAAGGTGCCGCTGCCGGCGGTGCAGGAAACGAAGGCGCCGCTGCCGGTGGTGCTGCGGGTGATGCTGCCGGTGGTGCTGCTGGTGCAGGAAACGAAGGCGCCGCTGCCGGTGATGCTGCTGGTGGTGCTGCTGGTGCAGGACACAAAGGCGCCGCTGCCGGCGGTGCAGGAAACGAAGGCGCCGCTGCCGGTGGTGCTGCGGGTGATGCTGCTGGTGGTGCTGCTGGTGCAGGAAAAGAAGGAGCCGCTGCCGGCGGTGCTGCGGGTGATGCTGCTGGTGGTGCTGCTGGTGGTGCCCACGCAGACGCACCAGCTTCAAAGACTACACCCCCGGCAGGAGTACCCCCTCCTTCCGCAACTCTCCCTTCCCAAACCGATACTCCCGCCCGCAATGGCACTGCAGGAAAAAACACTGCTCTCCCCGAGCCCGTCCAGACCAATGCGCCCAACGGCACTGCAGCCCCGGCAGAGACTGCCCTACCAACAGGCACTGCCCCCCCTGTAGAGGGTAAACAGCCAGCAGAGACAGGCACCCCAGGGGCTGAAGCTCCGTGCACCGATACCCCGCCTGCTGCAACTGGGGCTCCTGAGAAGGCTACTCCTCCTACTGGTACTGCTATGCCGATGCCGGAGGGGACTGCGGCTACAGAAACTGCTCCTCCTGCGAAAGAGACTGCACCTCCTGCGAAAGAGACTGCTCCTGCGGCCACTGAGACTGCACCTCCGGCGAAGGAGACTGCTCCTCCTGCGAAAGAGACTGCTCTGCCCGCGAAGGAGACCGCTCCTGCGGCCACAGCGACTGCCCCTCCTGCGAAAGCGACTGCTCCTGCTGGATACGGCGCCGGAGCTTATTAGATTTAATGTTTATGGACGATTATGGTTATACTTAGTTAGTAGGTGATGGTGATAGCGGTTAGTGGGGTTGTGGAGGTGGAAAGGGTTAATTGGGTACGGATCTCTGTTATGTAGTCAGATTAAAGAATTCAATAGTGTTTATGAAGTATTTGTGAAGTATTAAGAAGAGTTATCGCGTGCTGAATTGTTGGTGTGGATTGGAGATAGTGAATTAGTTGGGATGGACTGGCCGAGTGATTTTCTCTGTTTACACAGGATTCACAGGAGTATTAGTTCTCATCTAACCAATGGAGCTCCCATGAGGAAGATGTATAAGGACTTCCTTCCCAATATTATGGCTGAGACAGACTTCCTGCACGAACATTGTCCGCTGGGGCTAATTAACTTTTGGCAGCATTGCAGGAGGGGATCATGGCGTATCACTCGGGCGCCAAGTCACTAATTGCCTGTAGTTAGCTCACCAACCCAGCCAGTCCGGCCACCACAACGAGCCCTGGGGCTCGAGGAGATCATGGAATATCACTCGATAAACTCTTACTTTCACGCTACATGTATATTGGTTCCGGTCACGGTAGACCAACAACACTTTTCCCCTCAAAAACACCCACCCGCCCCAAATAATATCATACCCTTCAAAAAATGGGAAAGTCAAAGTTTGGAGACAGACAATCTATAGGACTACGCGTTCTCTGTTTTAGATTCCTCGATCTTCAATTTTTGAAGGGGTAGATATGGTTCAAAAAATAGGACTGTCCGGCTTAATGGCTGGTGTGTTCCACGAGGCATCGACGCTCGAGGCCTCTCCCCGAGAGAACTTAAGGCATAGGGGTTGACGAGGCGAGTATACTCAAGCCAAACCCTCTTGCTCGCCTCGAACTCTCGGGGTTTAGGTACATGTAATCGACATATATTCACTGGGTTTGATATTTCCGATAGTAACATTGGAAGTACATATTCCCTAAATTTTCATCCCACTATTACCATAAAACACAATTTTTACAGATCCGAATATAGTACAAGTAATTATCTGCCTCGAGGCATCACCTCTCTTTACACGAGAAAGCAAAGGCATGGACCATACAAAGCAGATGCACCTCGAGGCATTTGCCCCCACCCGCCTCGAGTAGCCTGGCGGACCACACTACTAATGGTCGTCGTTAAAAAAAAAATGGAAAAGGTCTAAAATGACACAGTTTTCGGTAGACGTGCTCTGCAATAACACATGATGTAAGATGACACAGTTCGCTATGATTCAAAACAGAAAGTCTACTCGACCTCACGCCGAGAGCACAAAGACATCGGGCAAAGCCAGTAATAAGTGTCAATTCCCAGCCCCACCACTATCAAAAATCAAAATAGTCTCATAATTTATTTCACTACGAAAATCAAATAAAAAAAGAACAAAAGATACTGTAACGACTTATTGCTGATTGAGCGTTACTATCCCCACCCCTGGTTTGAACTCAAGACCTTGTCCAAACACGCGGTGTCTAACCCGACGAGCAGTCTAACCACTAGACCACTCGCCCATGGTGGATGGTGCGCTGGAAGTGCTACTTAAGCTAGCTTGGCGGTGTGCCAAGATGAAGCAGAACCCCTAACCCTTCGATGTCAATGCATCGTGTGTTATTGTAGAGCACGTCTACCAAAAACTGTGTCATTTTAGACCTTTTCCGTAAAAAAAAAACACCCAAATATGTAACCTAGTTTAACGTCCCAAAACCAGCTAACTACGTGATTAAATCATTTATTGAGACCTAAAACTATAATATAGGTGTTTTTTCGTCTCGGCCAGTAGCTGGAATGTTGATTTACCGTGGCAGGAACCATAGTCCATCGCCGCCTCCATCTAATCTTCTAGCCCTCCGGAATCAAGTGCAACATCCTTCAGCCTTGAATCCAGCGAAAGAAGACTGCGTGCTTGTGCGAGAGTATGCAGGCAACCGCCTCTTTCAGCCCTGGTACGGACGAGAAGAGCGCTTTGAATGTTTCGACTCTTTCTTCAATGTGTGGAAAGATATGTGATGGACGATGTGCATGAGACCAGGGTGGCTCTTTGGTGGTTTTGTGTTGGTTGGAGCCTGCTGTCTTGAATTTTCTTGTTAGAAGACTATTTTGACGCTGGGGGGGGGCGGGGGGGCGATGGAGGACGATTTTGGAGATAGACTTGCACGATCACGGGGCAGGCCGCACTACTCGTGAAGTATGTACATCTTGTAGCAACTCGGATCTGGACGCCAACTATTCCACGATATAGGTGCAGCATTTGAATTGCTTCTTGGTGTGGCCCAAGGGGAGGTTTGAGAAGTGACCTCGAGGTACTTGTCATCGTTTCCCCCGGTTCTTGATCGTCTCCCGCTCCTGTTGTCCTCGAGGACGATGAAAAGGTGAGCCCAGGAGAGAGTGCGGGTCGGAGGTTTTATGGGCAGCTAGCTGCTACGTAGGCTAGAGTATCACATCCAAAACCCTACATGTAGTCTCGTGCCCAGCCTGTGGTGCGTGTAGTCTGCAGAACGAGGAACGAGTTGACAAAAATCTATGCACGAGACTACCAAAACCCTAGCCCTACACTAGCGCTAAGGATTAGATTAGATCAACCAAGATCGAGCCCCCTTCAGTGGGACGGGGTTATAACAGAAATCCGGACAGTACTGTCATGCGTTGTTGGCTTAGCTTAAGGGATAAAACTTCATTCCATCTCCATTAGCTGCCGTCACAGCTGCAACGGCCTGGGTTCGAATCCCAGGTCGGGCAAGGAGGGGCCCTCACCCCGTACTTCGCTGCAGTTTTTGCTCCCGGATTTCTCTTTTGAAATGACGCTTTTTCCTTGGTCGTTTTTATATATTAATGGTCTCGCACATGATACAGTGAATTTTAGTATATGACACGTCGTGATCGCGGGATGTTCTGACTCCTGGTCATCATTTGAATCTTGCCAAAGCCAACGTGCTAAACAAACCCATCAAACAGGGTTAGGGTCTTCAATTTCTTGATTGTCTACCACGAAAAAAATCCAAAACATTCTAACCCTAATTTTAGGGATATGGGCAAAACCATAATAATTCTGCTCCCCGAGATAAAAAAAAAATATGTGCGGGGTGCAAATTACTGTGTTAGTATTGAGACGAGGAAAAAAAGAGAAGGGGAAATGCACCATAGACTATCGCGAGTTTCAGTCGTTTTAGCGGTGATAACTATCCGGATCCAAAATCTTGGAACCAGAGCTTTTTCGCAGCATGTCCTGCTTTACCACTACCGTGATGATGTCTCTCTCCTCTTCCCATGTGCCGAAGGCCCGGGAAATGGTTGGCTGGTTCATGGATAATCACTCGATTTTCACATCCTTTCGGACTTCGCGGTGAAAGACCATCCACCACTATCTAGATCTAGCCATCACACAGCACGATCATTCCCCACAATATTTACACCCCCCATACACCTCCTAGCGCCGTGTAGTATCTTTGGGTTGGAGAAGAAGAGAGGACTAAATTAGATAGCAAGGAACGGCCACAGCTGCACAGGGAGGTTGGAGGTAGAGAGTTATGGGTGTCTTAGCATGTGACTATCATCATAAATTCTCACTCGGGCGCCAAGCAAACACCTACCCGTGATTCCAAACACAACTGTGAAGTCTTCTCCGACACATCGCCCTCCTAGTAGCACAGCCACCGTCCCAGGACGCCCATATGTCAATGATCAAAACGCATTAAAAAGTCCACTCCCACTCCCACTCAGAGGACCAAGTCACTGCGCACAAAACTTCATATTCCTAACAGATGGAAAAAAAAAAGAATAGAAAAAAAAACAAACACCCAAAGAATGAGCAGAGGCCAAACCGAACCCTGGACCACAAAGAAAAAGAAAAGCACATAGAAGGCGCCGACATAACCCCCTCCCCTCCCCACAGCATGAGACCATCTCAAATAACCCCACCCTCCACCCTCCACTCCCCTCCCCACCGCAACACAAGACAAGACTAGACCAAAAAAAAAAAAAAGAGACTAAGCCCAACACCAAATCGACTCATGACTACAGTAGCATGGCCCATGGTGCTATCTAGACCGTTCTAACCTACACACAAATACTAAAACACTTTTCTTTTCAATTATTTTCCGCCTGTACTCATTGCATGCGCCCCCACCCCCACCACCCACCCACCCCCCCAAAACCTCGCTGCTAAATGGTGGTATACTTCTACACGATAGTATTACAACCCCTCGCAGCCCTCAGGTCAGTCGGTACGTAGGTAGGTTAGTGATTGAGTGAGCATAGATGCAACCCACACCACACACACATCACTCCCACTCCAATGAATCCCCCACCGGCACATTCCCATTCAAGCTATTATGATTCTGTTGCTGCTGTGGCGGCGCCTGGGCTTTTCCCCTCCCCCCCCTCGGGGCCGGCCTCTGCGGCAGCGGATGTTTCTGCTGCTGCTGGCCTCTCGACGGGTGCGGCTCCACCTGCACGCCCTCATATGCGTCCCAGCCACTCCCTGACTGCTCTGCTTGCGGCGTCTCCCACTGGTCGTTCACCGGGACACCGCCGCTGCCGTTGCCATTGCCGTTGCCATTGCTGTTCCCGTTTGAGCGCTGCGGTGGCGCTGCGGCTCTGGGTGGGTTTGGACGCTGCGGGGGTGGGGCTTGTTGTTGTTGATGCTGGGGAGGCGGCGCGGGCGCTCGCCCGTTAAGTCTCCCGTACGAGTCTCCACCGCCGCCGCCTCTTGCGCCGCCGCGCCCACCACGGCCACCGCGCCCACCACGACTGCTGACCTTGCTGGCGAGCATGGCGTCGATGACGTCTTGCGGGATTGTGCCTGCCACTGGTGCAGGGCCAGTAACGGGGGTTGAGTTTGCAAGGATACTCTTCCCGCCGTCCTCCGTGAGTCGCTTTCGCACTTTGATCTTGAGGTATCCCATCCCGAGCTTCCTAACGTCCTCAGAGTCTTCGTCATCTTCGTCGTCTTCATCGTCAGGTTGATCCTCGAAGTAGCGGTCCTGCTCAAAGTCATTTGTTGAGATGATGCCGGCGGGGGCAAAGATGTATGCTTCACCCTCGTTGAGGGCCACAATGCGGGCGAGGAGGGAGAGGGCGTTGGCATCGGACTCGACGGCAACGGCCGCGAGATGGCGCTTCATGAAGGCGAGCCATTCGGGGGAGGTGAAGCGGTGCGCGATGATGATATTGCAGAGGTCGAGGAGCTTGGGGGAGATTGTGGGCTCTTGGGTGGAAATGAGGACGCGGGTGGCGAGATGGCGTTGCTGCCGAATTACGGAGAGGAGGTTGTCGGTGAGCTTTTGGGCGGGGGAGGTGGCGGTCATGTACTGTGATTATTTTATATACTGTTAGTTATTGTAGGTTATAGTGCGGAGAAGAGGGGAGAGGGGAGTTACCTTGTGAGCTTCGTCAAGAGCGATCACCCGCCCATACTTTACATCCTTCTCCAGAAACAGGCCCACACAGATATCAAACAACGCACACGCACTCGCCTCATCCACAAAAGGATCACTCAGATCCACAATCGTAATCACGCCGGGCGTAAAATCCCACACCTCCTCCACGCCCTCCCGCATCTCCAAAAAGCTCTCCAAGATCTCTAACCGCAGCGTCAGCGGGCCCTTCTGCATAGGCGTCAGATCCGCCTGCAGGATCATCTCTCGAAACAGCTTATAGTCGAACCCCGAACCGTAGATGCTACTTGCTGTAGCCAGCTCGCGCAGGATCTTGCGCACATACTCCATGTACAGTGGCGGATGATCTGAGTTCTTGTCAACCGACATGAGAGAGAGCATGCGCTCGATGTTGAGGTCGGACTGCTTCAGCTTGAGCGGCTTGACGATAAGGTTTTGTGAGGCGATGCCGGAGTAGAGGCGCGACATCTGGGGATAGTTTGAGGAGGAAACTAAGATGCGCACGGGCATGTGCGTGGCCAGATAGGCGGCTTCGCAAGGGCGGAGGGCGTTGGCACTGTTGTTGATATCGAAGTGGAAGACCATTGCCGTGAGGGGATTGGGTAGAGCCCCGAGGATGGGGGACTTGACGAGCATGTTTTCTATAATATTTCATATTAGTACACATTCTCTCCACGAAGCAATTATGCAGAAAACCCGTAAAAGAAAAAGAAAAGCTCACCAAGCATACAAGCCAACGTATGACTTTTCCCCGACCCCTGCAGCCCACAAATAAACGCGGACCATGGCGCATTCCCATTCAAAAACACCCTGGGATCCCCCCTTTTCTCAGGCTTCCTCCCGCCATCATAGTAGCCGCTGTCGTCGCTGCTGCGGTCCGTAATATCGCCCGACCGCTTCCGCACATCCCCGGGGTCAACGAGCTCCAATGCGCGCCCGAGAAGCCCATATTGATTTAGTGCGGCAGGGCAGTGCTTATCGACGAAGAGGCCTGCGGCTGCAGTGAATACGGGGGTGGTGATGAGGGAGTGCCGCTGGGAGGCGAGGGAGACGTCGTGGTGCGAACCGGCACCGTTAGGGCCGGAGGGGGCCTCACCGAGCAGACTGAGCTGCTGGTAGAGGTTTGCAGCGAGGTTCTGGGAAAAGCTCCGTGCCATTGCTGTGTGTGTGGTGATGTGGTGGTGGTGGTAGTGGTGGTAGTGGTGGTTTGGGGGGGGGGGGGGGGGGGGTAGAATGGATGGAGGGGGAGTGGAGGGGCTTGGTTGCGGGAAGTCGAGAGAGCGAGGTGAGCTAGGTGGAGAAGATGACACAGTACTGCTGGAGGAGAAGGAAGAAGAGGTGACCGAAAGCAAGAAAAAACCAAAATTGGTGATATATCGGTTAATTGGAGGGAAGACGGAGACGGAAAGACCAGTGCAGTGTTTGACGGCCTTCTTTATATACATGCAGACACACAAAAAAAAAGATATATCTAATCTCAGCTCTCCTGCGCACTGAGGGGTTAACCCAACACACACGCAGCTACCCGCGTGAAGGCAGGCAGCAGTACTACTGTAAACTCTGCTTCTTCTTCCTCTTCTTCTTCTGCCCACATACATTAACCATTATTATACCTACATATGATATCCTCAACAATGCCCGGGCCCCCCTCTCCCCCTCCCACTACGCATGATTGGGTATAAATGCGATTCAGGCAATCACCCAGTTGCACCCACCTCCCCCCATTCTCAGGCGTCCCACTATCTCCCCCGGAGCCCAAGATGTGGGGAGGGGTTTAAACCCAAATACGAAAGCGCGGGAGCAGAGGGCAGAAGGCGGAAGGGGACGCCTTAACAGAAAACTATGATCGAGCTGCGATATGCTTACTAGTGTTTAACCTGCAGGTCAGATTCAGGCACCCCAGCCTGGGATTCGATGATGACTAAGCCAGACAGAACCCCAACACCACAACTCCGGAGGTTTTGGGTGACCCGCAGCGAGGGATGCGGCCGTCTTCCGAGACATGTTTTGGATGCTTCAGGTCAAAAGTAATGCGGTGTGACGCTATGGTGCATGCTGAGATGTGGGTCATGGATGATCACTCGTTAGTCTTGGATCATATGTCATCACTCGGTCAATAGGTCGATTGATTGATTGATTACTTCATTAATTTCAGTCAATAGGTCAGAAATGGTTTTGAAACTGCAGTAATCTCTCGCTATAAGGATACGATCGGGACCGAAATTTTGCATTCTTATTGAGAATTATCGCTATAGGAAGCTAAGGATTAGGTGTGAAGAAGGTTAACGGCACCGGGCCATCCTAGCCGAAGCCGCCTCACTTTATCAGTAGAAATAGTCTAGATTTTAAACAATCAAACGGTCGTACCATAGCCACGATTTGAATCTTTCATCTCATACACTTACGAAAACTAAAGTTGGTCATACAAGTTCATGGACAATGTCGTTTTTTCTTCTTTTTCTTCACTTCATACACGATTATATAAATATAGACTATGCTTTTCGCTTCCCGCAATTCAACATCAACTACAATACCAAAAGATGGTATGGATTCGCTACGTTATTCCCGTTAATGCGCTAGTAATGCAGCAAGAATACGGCATTACTACGGTATTCTTTTTTGTAATGCCGGTTTAATTCCGTATTATTCACTAAATCCCGTAGTCATATGTACAGTACTGATTTCACCCCGTTTTTTCGTACTGTAACTCATCATACATGAACAGAATTAACAATACATACCAATCATCCAAAGGTCATGTACTCAATCTCCAACCACTCAAATCCTCCTATAGCAATAATCATCATACCCATCGGGCATAGCGGTTTGTTTTGAGGGTTATGTATCGAGCCTAAGGCTCGCCCATGTCGAGTAAGCTAGAACACAAGAGAGTTTATGCCTGTTCTATTAATACATTTTTAGTCATCGTTCTCTAAGCGGGAAAAAGGTTTCGACAAAACCGTTGCAACGTCTCCCTCTCCTCTTCCAACCTTCGTGGCCGGCGACCACATCGATGTCCCCATACATTTTCTAGCGATAATATCAATCATCAAAAATGTACTCAATACTCAATCTCTGACCGTTCAAATCTTCCCATCGCAATCATCGTAACCATGGGGCAAAGCGGTTTACTTTGAGAATTATCGAGAATAAGAGAGGTCATTCCTCTATTAATAGACTTAAGGACACGTTTCAACTTTGTTTTCGACAAAACCGTTGCAACGTCTCCCTCTCCTCTTTCATCCTTCGTGGCCAGCGACCACATCGATATCCCCCTACATTTTCTAGCGATAATACCAATCATCAAAATGTACTCAATACTCAATCTCTGACCGTTCAAATCCTCCCATACCAATAATCATCATAACCATCGGGCATAGCGGTTTACTTGGAGAATTATCGAGAATAAGAGAGTTTATTCATCTATTAAGAGACTTAAGGACACGTTTCAAAATCTTTTTAATTTTTATTTTATTTTATCTTTTTCTACAACGCCCCCCTTTCCAACCTTTGTGGCCGCCAACCACATCGGTATCCCCCCTACATTTTTTATACGTTGTTATACAATGCGAGGATCCCTCTCCTATTCCAAACTCCACCCTCCTGTACTATGACCCTACAAATCATCCTCTGAGACCTCCCCTCTTCCAGACTTTGTGGTTGCAGCCACAAAGCGAGGAAGAGACGACGGGGGTGAAAGAGGAGGGCATATACTCTTCCAAACTTTACGTTTGCAGCCACAAAGCCAGGAAGAGGTAGAGACGAGTAAGGAGAGAAAAGAAAAAATAGGAAGAGGGAATCCAAGCATACCATTTTCCTACGCCCAACGAACCTCCGTTGAGATGATTATCAACCATCATAGTACATGTACTCATCCATATCTAGAGTTTCCGGGTTATACAAACGCGGGATCTCCTTCGGTATCCCGAAATAATCCACGGTGCTGTACACATACCCATCATAAACAGGTGTTGACGCCTCCTCCGCTACCCTCTCTCCCTCTTCCTCAGAAGTCTCAGTATGATCACTATCACTATGAGGGCTATTGTTGTTGGTCCTCCTCTTCAGAACACTCGGCTTCGGAAAGTTCCTGTTCCTGTTCCTGTTCCGATGCCTGAACAGCGTTTTCAGCTCCTGGCAAACCGAATTGACTTGAGCGACGTGACGCAGTGTTATGAGCTCGCCAGTATACGGGTGGGGTTCAAGGAGGTGAGGAAGGGCGATAATGGTGGTGGTGTTGGTAGACATTTGGGGTTTTTGACTTGTACAGGTTGTGGGGGGATTGAGCTGTTTGGTGGGTTTTTGTTGTTGTTGTTGTGATAATGAGAAGAGAAGCCAGCTGCTGCTGTTGGAGTTGCTGTTGGTGTTGTACGATAATGAATTAAGAGATTTAGATAATGAATTAAGAGATTTCGATAATGAATTAAGAATGAAGAGAAGATCGTTTTATATAGAGGTGAGGAGAGAAGACAGCTGTTGTTCGAGGCTCGTTGTGAAACACTTGTCACCTTAAATCTGTAGACAGATACATCCGTTTTCTCCTCATAGCTGTTGCGTTCCATCATGGTGATGATTTGTCTTTTGACGGTTTCAAGTGAGGGTGAAGACACATGTAGGCTGTGATATCTATGTGGCCTCCTGATCTGTGGTTAACTATATGGGCCTGCTGATGTGGTATACGATGCTGCTTGAAACGAGCCAGAAGGTCTCCGTAGAGCGAGATGCTTGATAGACCAGATCCTCATGCTTCATTCAAGACGTGGCTCTTCTAGTAAAGCCAACTTACACGTCGTGATGATCTACGCCGGAGTGTAAGTAGAGGTAAGATTTCCAGTGACGAGACAGAACAGATAGCAGGAAGAGACGTACATAGCTGAGTGTCCTTACAATGGTGGTGATGGCCTTTATACATAGTGGTGGCCAGGTACTGGGTAGAGTTCCTCAGCCTTTACGCAGCGAGCGGTTGAAGACGGAAAATGGTGTCCCGGAGTAAGTACACACAAAAAGCACGATGACCCATCCAAATCTGCTACAGAGTCTTGGTCCGCATGTGGTTGATGTTTAGTGGGGATTAAAATCGAAGAATGCGTCTGAGCAGCCTTTCTTGATGGTGTTTGTGATTCGGTGCATGATTCCGCGAAGGCTGTAATATAGCCATAGTCAATGCATTGATGATTGTCATTGTAATGTACTAGTAGAGGGATATGGGTTCAGGGTGCATTTTGATATCTTTGCACCGGCTTGCTCAAATGCCAATTAGAGAGGTGGAGAAATAATGGCGAGTGGTTTAGTGGGAGTACTACAGAGCTTGTCGAAACCGTGTACGTGGTACCAGAATTAAGGTTTTGGATTCGGGTCCAGGGGTGGAAGTACATGTAGTCTCTTGCTTACCTCGATGATGAATAGTACTTTTTGCTCCTTATGTATACGAGTCTATATGGAGTTAGGTGAGCTCAATGATGAGATCGGTGCTCGGAGAGGTCATGTTCTACGGTAAGTCTGTGAGCAGTACGTAAACGCAGGTACATAACTACATACATGTATTTGTACAGAGGATCATCTGGAAAGATGTCCTTGGTTAAAGCCGTGTATTTTTTGCAAATTTCCATGATACGCATATCATAAAACATTTTCACTCGTTCAGAATCTTCTAACACAGTTTATCATGTTTCTTTCATAAGGCCCTTAGAGTGCCCCATACCCTCTTTTGATACATCAAGTTGAATCATCCACCTCGTAGTAAATCTTCATGATGCCCTTCTGGCCATTTCGACACTCTTAGTAGACATGGCTCTCAGTTCCGTTCTAGGATATATATGCGATTTTCCCATTGCCTTACTATATTCTCATGATTTAGCGTGGTCCACGAGGACACTGGTACAACGTCAGGACGACGAACCTCGAGTACAATGTCTGTTCTTGCCTCGAGGACACCTCCAAACGCCGCCTCGAGTGTCCCGATCGCGGACCACACTGTCCTGATCATATCTGGATACATGTACTGATAATACAGGAGAACGGTTTTACAAGTGTAATAGGTGTAAAATACATGTAGCTCTCACCCTGAGAAGGAGAATATTTGTGTCGGCAGCTCCCACGGTGTCTATATCTTGTGTTTTTGAAGATCTATCTCCCACCTAATAAAGCTCGAATGATTATATTGATGATGATAAAAGAGCAAGACATAAGCAATACGTAGTCGTGACCAGTCCCCCGTCACAAGTACCACCTGTCCTCATATCACCCACAACCATTGCTAGCCAGAACACCTGCTACAACATCCCCGGACCTGACGAGACCCAGCTTCCACGGGACGAGATGTTCGAGACAGACCGACGAGAGAAAATATCGACGTGAGTGACTCAAAACCCGTCTCGATCTGGCCAATGTTACGGTCAGGAACTGTGTTAACTACTAGATCAGTGTGTACGTATACTATACATACCCCTTCGATAGCGAAAAAATTACAACATCTTCTTCTCGGACGGTTCTTATCGGGATAAAAATACTACAGAAAAGTGAGCAGAGATGCACCCATGCCCGCCGCATCAGAGCCAACACCAGGTGGGCGGACTCATTAAGCAGGGGCCACAAGCATTTTCCTCTCTCCTTGAATACGGTCGTAGTTCAGGGTTTTTAGTTTTCATTCTGCACACCTACCGGATTGGTAGGTGCTCACGCGCACAAGCCGAGTTGGTAATGTACGGACATTCGCAAGACACCGAGTTGGTGAACAGGCGACGAGATGAATGCTCCGAGTTGGTGACAAACACTCTGACCGAATTGGTCGTGGGCTAGGGGGCAGGAATGGAGAGGTCGGGGATGGAGGTGGTAATGTTACCTTCCTCTCGTGATGGGTGAGTACCTTCGTGTGCAGCGCCGAGAGCTGTGTTTTTTATACACGCGTTTATGGTGGCATTGGGGTCGATGTTCTTCTGCTTATGTTGAGAACAGGCGGTGCATGCAGCTATCGATGAGTTATAGGATATCACATAACTGTGGTTCTTCTTTGCAAGATAGAAAGAGGTGCTGATGATGAAAATGGTAGGAAAGTGAGTGAGGGGAGAGGATCGGTTTATGTATGGTGCGTGAGGGGGCTGGGGGAAGCCCGTCACGTTAATCTGCTCTGCGGGTACATAAGCGGAAGTCGATCATTGAGTTAATGTACGACAGGGCGCCAGCTCACCCAACCAGCAGTCATTGGCCGATTACTCACCATAGATAACCCTAAATCGGGAGATACATATCTGGGAATTTATTTGAGGGCGTCTTCGCTTGCAAAGCTTGGCGACAAAATCGTTTGGTGCAAGCAGGTCGGTGATCACACCAGAATTGGATGGGCAGGGTAATGATAATTATGCATGTTTTCGGGTGGGTGAAGCAATAGATCTATAGAGTGATAACTGATGTATACCTTATACTTCAAGAGGTAATCGTCCGAGTCTGGGCTCATCTATCGAGTTTCGACAGTATACATGGGACGAGACAAGACGAGACCAGCTCGTTTTGTCCCATGCCCATCACAACTATTGACCGTATAATATAGCTGATTCCTGACCAGTGGCTTCGATCCAATTACCATAGTGGCTACTCCTTGCCATCGTGATTCGCTGCTGTTCGCTGGGAGGCAAATTGGAAGCTTAAGTAGGATACGTGATACTAAAAATACCTATAATTCAACGTGTGGTATATGTCTTTGAATACTCTCCACATGAGGGCCATATACTCCCCATGGCCCACCAAACGCCAAGCCAGCCTCCAACCAACCCACCACCCTTCCTCGCGACCGCCTTACTCCTTCAAAACCACACCAACCGCAATCTCGGGCAGGCTCTTAACGTCTCCACATCCGTGGTCGAAAAAGACCACCTACTCGCAGCATGTGCTACCTCCCACACACACATGCACCCAGCGAGCAAAAGCTAACGGCAAGCCCCTGAGTTGATCTACTTCTGTGGTCGAGAGGGAATAAAGCTTTGTCCGCTAGCTAGCCCACCCCTGCTGTGTTGTACAGTTGTGTGGCGATGGGAGAGAGCGATTGTTGTCCGGTGCTGCTGATGTGTTGGTCTTTTGTGGCTGGGACGGATGTGCGTGGGTTTACATGTGTCTTTTAGTCCCCGAGGGGTACATGGAGTGGTGGGGATCGGATAGACTTCGGGCATTTAGAGGGTTGGGTGGTAGGCCCTAGGCACGTTTTCACACACGTACACACATGTCCCTCCCCATAGGCGGTGATGATCAGAACGTAGAGTATAATCTATAGGAGGATCTCTGACAACTGGAGTCCAGTCCCTACGCTGGGCGTATCTTTCTCCTAGGAGGTAGGAAGACTGCCCCTCCCCTGAACTAGAAGCAGAAAGGAAGGAGCAAGAGAATAGGGCCCAAGAAGTGACCCCAATATAGCGGACGACCGTAACTAGCCCGCACTCATAAGAGAGCGGCGAGAATGGTACTTTATGTCTTTGTGCAAGCCCCATGTGTGATCCCATATATATACAAGCACGAGCAAGAAAAATTGAACAAATCCGGCAGCAAAAACTGCAGCGAAGTACGGGGTAGGGGCCCCTCCTTGCCCGACCTGGGATTCGAACCCAGGCCGTTGCAGCTGTGACGGCAGCTAATGGAGATGGAATGAAGTTTTATCCCTTAAGCTAAGCCAACAACGCATGACAGTACTTTCCGGATTTCTGTTATAACCCCGTCCCACTGAAGGGGGCTCGACCTTGGTTGATCTAATCTAATCGTTATCTGTACTGAGATAAAGTAGAGAGGTGGCCTCGATAAAGCCAGACGCGGGACAAAAGCAGAGGGCACAGACGAAGGGGATTCTTAACGTGGTAGTGCAGTCGCGTTATATTCAAGCTTTACTCTAAGCGTTCATCTTTCACCCCATGGCTAGTAAGACCAAAGACACAAAAACAAGCCGGATTCTCTATGCGTGCTACGACCTGTACAACCGCGAGATTTCCACCCAAGCGCAACGAACGTTTACACAGAACTTTCTTCTCTGGGGGCGGTCTGTTCTCTAGGGCCGGCTAGGCCGCCAGTGCGTTTTTTTTCTTTTTTTGCGCTCCCATCCCTCTCTCACTACCTTACCTCATCCCCCTTCAGGTCCACTCTCACTCCCTTTGTCTACTCTCATCTCCCTTCATGTCCACTCTCATCTCCCACTCTCTCAACTTCTCTCCGACACATGGAATGCCTCAGAACAGCTGACGATGAACCCAACTCCTACTCTCCCCCGGCCCCGGTTAGAGCCTCCCTAGACGTCCGGAGGTGGTGCCAACCGAGCAGGAGCGAACTAGACCGTGACGACGAAGATCTTTCCGCCAGGACTTTTCTCACTTTCCCCCCTGGCTGAGGGTGTCTACTAGCCGACCAATCCACACCGTGGCACTTTGGGCGCTCACACCACCGAGGTGGAGGAGACGAGTGAGATTCTGTGAAGTGGATATTCAAGTCGCTTACCATGATGTCTTCTGTCGCGAAGAAAGGTTTATGTTGGTCAGACTGCAACTAACAGCTTGCGCCTATACTAGTGGTTGGATTAGATGAAGAACTAGCGTGCATTGCCAGGCCCGAGTGATGGCCCGTGATCGAACCGATCTGCTTGGCAAAATTCTTTACTTCTAACCCCCGGTGGATATCTTGGTTGCATGCCCATTATAGTCCTCGGGAGTCTTTTAGGTACACTACCAGACCGAATCGGGATAAAGAAGTTGGATAACGTACAGATTTCAACATGCATGAGGCTCTATATTTGCATAGTTGGCCAGCTCAGATGTCGGTTACAAACACACGCCGAAGTATGAAAAAGAAGCGAGAAAAAAACACAGCAAAAGAACCAACCCGGAATTATACAAGGGAAGATATCACCCTAGCTTATCTACATGAGAAGAGTGCTTATGAAAGCATTCGACTAAAGCACAAAGACCTGCGGGAATCGGCCGCAGATAACTACACCAATTACACACACATAGTTGGATTTGACATTTTCTCCTAGAGATACTGGGAATGGATTATCCGCTCTCAAGGCTTGTCTTGTCTTGCTCCGCGAGCTGAATAGGGGACTAGACAGAGCAGAACCACACGGTACTCTAGATCCCAGCCACGAGAGAGAGTGGTTATATATCGTTCATATCATGAATTCATATAGTAAGTACCATTGCGCCTGCCAAAGCAATCCATCCCTATATACATCCCCCCACATCCCCCGCTCTAAAAAAAAAACAGAATTACGCCCCCACCCCACCATCCGCCTCTCCTACCACTAAAACGCCACCAACACAACCAACACCACCACGCCCACCACCGCCACGCCCACCACCCCCGCCCCCGCCACCCCCATCCCATGCCCCACAACCTCCACCTTCCCCGTCCCACTACTGCTACCCGTCCCATTCTCTGCCTCCGCCGCCAGCGCATTGAGGATGTTCTGCGTCGGCAGCGCGCGCAGATGCGTTGTTACCGCGGCCACCTCTGGGAACGCCGAGTTTATGGGGACGCCGCTGACGGTAGCGGGGATGGTGGCGTTAGGAGGCGCGGTGATGCCGAGCGCGCGGAGGAGGTGCGGGGGCGGGGGGTAGTGCGTGTGGCCGTGCGTGTGGCAGAGCGTGTAGAGGGTTGTGAAGTAGGTTTCTCTGTGGGGGTGGGGGTGTTAGTTGGTGTGTATAAGGCGGAGATAAGGGGAGGGGATGGGGGGAAAGTGGGCATACATTGAAGAGCTATTCCCAGCGCAGGACCGGAGCACGCAGGGGATTGTGGAGGCGAGGAGGTGCCGGTCGGTGCAAAGGCAGCTGATGGTGTTTGTGAAGTCGTTTTCGCTAGTTTGTGGGGGGTTTATTGCGCACTACCATACATGTCATTCTTGGTTAGCTTTGGGTCCAAGGCTGTGGAAATGAGTGTTTCGGAGAGGGACGTACTAGTGGGACGTTGGACATGTCGGTCTTATCTTCGCAGGCTTGCACGCAGGGCGGGGTGTCAGGCATGGGGAATATTAGCGTTGCGAAGATGGGGGTGAGGTGTAGTGATAGTAGGAGGAGGAGCTCGAGAGGGGGGTGCATCGTGGTGGTGGGTGGTAGTGGGAGTTTTATAGGGGTATGGTAGCAGCTAGGTGTGTGTATAAGGATAAGTATATATAAGGATAAGTTGTAGTGCTAGATCTGTAGTACTGAAATTGTAGTTGTAGTTGTAGTAGACACTAGTGGTAATTACCGCTACTAGTAGTCGATATTAGTAGCACTAACCAGTAGCAATCAGTAAAGTAGCAATTAATAGCAGCTTCAATAGTAGCTGGTAATGACCGTCGCGACAACAAAAAGAAAAATTCGTAAAACTAAAAGCTCTCGGGTATTACGCGATAAAATAACGGGATCTACATTGGTTTTAATACTTGCGATACACTTTCACGGTGAGTGAGGTTTGTGGTTGTAGTTGTAAAGTGGCTTTACCGGGGACCGGGGGCGGGGAGGGACCGGTGGAGGGGAGTTGGATTTGGAGCTGGGTTATGTCAGCTGCGCCGCGGGGGGTTTGGGGTTTACATCGTGGAAGGAGAATGGAACGGTATGTGAGAGGAGGGGATTATGGGGTAGGTTTTGTTATAACTATACAGCTAGCTACGGAGAGAAAGAAAATGAAGCTTTTGACGAGATGTTCATCTATCGTGATATCCCATGAAGCAGTCAAGCAACGAAACCAAAAAACGCCAAGGCTACCGATCAGCGCGCCGACTACTAATTCCGCTCAGGGAGCCCTTTCGACAGGGATCTGCAGCCTTAACACAAGGGCTTGGTTTTTGACACTTGCGGGTTTTCGCTAGTGCCCGAAACCGTTTTTGACAAGCTCTTTTTTTTTGTCCGCCCCGTTATTTTGAGCCTCATGTTGCATCCGGGCATCCGATATCCGGGAGTACGGCATTTCAGATCTGGTGTGGGCGGGGAGATGACGGGCGAGGGAGGGAGGGAGAGGGACAGGTAGGGCGGGGATAGAGATACACCGAATGGGCACGTGGGGATTAGAATGGAGTGCACGGTGCAGGTGTGTTTATGCGATGGAAGGAAGGGTTTGGCAGCTGCGCGGACAAGAGATCATCCGGATGTTTAGTACAGGGTGCTGCGATCCTTGCCAGTGGTAGATAGATGAGTGCGGGTATTTTGGATGTCACCAAGAGTGTTTGTACCTTGATGTACCTAGATTGTTACTACATGTACTCTACGCTGCTGTGATTAAAGTGTCATATAAGACGACACCCACGATGTTGGATACATGTAGTGCTCTTCTCACAATGTCAGAGTGAGCAATAGAGCATACGTAGCCCTCCAAGACCCCAAGTCCGATGGCCAAGATGTACATATTATCCATCATAATCAACAGGTCATGGCCAGGACACTCGCTCTTCTTCTTCCTCACCTTCTGCATCCGACACCGCACCTGCTTGCCCCCACTCCGTCCAGTGGAATATCGTGCAGTAGTTGTACCTCGCATTAAGCCGTACCTGTGCCACATCATCTCCTATCACTCGTGGCTATTATCGCAACAGCAACAACGCCCAGCCAACGGCGCCGCCTTACGTAACCCGCCCATTTAAGCCTCATTCATTTCCGATCCCGGCTTTCACCTATCGCCAGATTTCTGTTCTCCCATCTCTCCCGTCAGGACAGACTGTTGTTGTTGTTCACGTAAAGCACCTCCCCTCAAGTAAACCCTTGGGCTTGAATTTCTTTGCTTTCCCTCACGCAAAGCAAAAGGTTTGCTCCTCCTGCTCAACATGCGGATCTCTAAAAGTCTGCTGTTCCTGTCGGCCATGGGAGTGTCTCTCTCGTCGGCATTCTACATCCCCGGTGAGTGCCTTTGTTCTGGAGAACAGCCCCCCTTTCCACAGACAGACCCAGAACCACCCCGTAATCATCATCACTGAGCTACCGTTGGAGACATTGTAATATCACAGGAATCTATGGGCTGACGGGGTGCTATTGGTGTGTGTGTGTGCTCAGGCTGGTCTATCCGCTCGTACAAGGACGGCGACGCGATCCCTCTCTCGACAAACAAGCTCACCTCCCCCTCCACGCAGCTCCCCTACGCCTACTCCGAGCAGCCATTCGTGTGCCCCGCCAGCAAGGACGGCTTCGGCGCGCGCTTCGGGTCGTCGAGAGCCATTGCCCTCAACCTGGGCGAGGTTCTGCGCGGCGATCGCATCCAGATCAGCGATTACGAGCTCACAGTGGGTCAGGATGAGGTATGCAAGCATCTCTGCGATCGGGAGACCGATAGGGCGGGTGTGGAGAAGGCGAAGGAATTGGTGAGGGGTGGTTATGTGGTCGAATGGTAGGTTGCGCGATCTCTCCCAAACTTTATTCCATCTCATTGTTTTTTGTGATCTTACCCCTGGAACTCGTGCGTTTGGGGCACGCGCTCAGGGATGGTCTGTGGCTTGGATGCACGGAGCTTTCTGGATGGCCAGTGGGCTGCTGGCGTTGGTTTGGTTGGATGTGAGGAGTCCGGGCTGACAGCTGCATGATTGTTACAGGATCGTCGATAATCTTCCGGGGGCTACTTCGTTTGTGACGGTCGATAAGACCAAGAAGTACTATGCTGCTGGTTTCAAGCTCGGGTTCTACGAAAATGATGTTTGTTTCACCCTCTCGAATTATTTTTCTTATATCTTTGGTTTCGGTGACTGACTTGCCCGCAGAAAGCATTCATCAATAACCATGTCACTCTCGTCATCCGCTGGCGCAAGACCGCCGAAGGCCCCGATCGCAAGGTCATCGTCGCCTTCGAGGTCTACACCAAGTCGATTGCCGGACCGATGGGCAAGTGCTCCGAGACTCTTGAGGGACAGAAGCCGCTCGAGCTCTACATCCCACCGGAGACTCCTAGAGAGGACGGAGGTCAAGGTGGAGATGATGGCAAGAGATTGAACATCCCATACACCTACTCTGTCTACTGGAAAGAGGACAACACTATTGACTGGGCCTCACGCTGGGATCTCTACTTTGTCAACGATGACGAGTCGGCCTCCATTCACTGGCTCGCCATTGTCAACTCGCTTGTCATTGCGATGCTCTTGACCGTCGTCGTTGCAATCATCATGCTGCGCACCCTCTCCAGGGATATCCAGAACTACAACGACACCGGTGCTACCGACCCCGAATCCAAGCGAAAAGCAGCAGTTGCTGCCGCCGCCGAGGGCGCGGAGGAAGATGAGTCTCTTGATGATATCACTGGCTGGAAATTGGTCCACGGAGACGTCTTCCGACCACCTGGGGCCGGAGGACTATTTGCACCAATTGTTGGCAGTGGAGTTCAATTGCTCGCCATGGCTGTCGCACTCATCGTACTCAGTGCTGTCGGTGTGCTGAACCCCAGCTACCGCGGTGGCTTCATCAGCTTCGGACTCTTTCTCTTTGTGTTTGCCGGTGTCTTCTCAGGCTACTTCAGCACCCGTGTCTACAAGACTTTCAAGGGCGAGAAGTGGAAGAACAACGCCCTTATGACAGCTCTCCTCTTCCCCGGCTTCCTCTTTGGATCGGTATTCATCCTCAACCTTTTTGTGTGGGCACAAGCATCGTCCACCGCAATCCCGTTCGGAACACTAGTGGCGCTAGTCATGATGTGGCTGTGCATCTCACTCCCGCTTGTGTTTGTCGGCTCGTTCTTGGGCTTCAAGAGGGCGCCATGGGAGCACCCCACCCGTACCACCATGATTGCCAGACAGATCCCCGCGCAGCCATGGTATCTCCGTACCGGACCCGCTGTTCTCATGGGCGGCTTGATCCCCTTCGCAGTCATCTTCATCGAGCTGCTATTCGTGTTCAAGAGCCTTTGGCAAGACAAGAGCGGGTACTACTACATGTACGGCTTCCTCGCGCTCATTGCCGGCATCAACGTCGTGACCGTGATCGAGATCACCATCGTAACCACCTATTTCCAGCTCTGCTCTGAGGTTCGTCTCCCCTCTCCCCTCCTCACCTTAAACCTAATCAACTAACAAATAAAAAACAGAACTACAACTGGTGGTGGCGCTCGTTCCTCGTCGGCGCCGGATCAGCCGTCTGGATCTTCCTCTACAGCGCATGGTACTTCATGACAAAGCTGCACATCGAGGGCTTCGTCAGCTCCCTCCTCTTCTTCAGCTACTCCTTCCTTGCCTGCGTCGTGTATGGCCTGCTCCTGGGCACGATCGGATTCTTGAGCACGTATGCGTTCGTGAGGAGGATTTATGGCGCTATCAAGGCGGACTAGTTTTGGGTCCTTGGACTGGTTGGCTAGTTGGAGGGCCGGGGGACCGGGGGACCGGGGGTGGGAGGTTGGGGATTAATATTTTCAATTGTCTATTTTTTATTTTATTTTTACGCTTTTTTGTGTAGGAACTTGGGTTCTTGGTGGCGCTTTAGAGTCGCCTTCTCCACTGTTTTTTCTTTTCACCTTTTTTTCTTTTGTGGTTTTTTTTTGTCAAGTCAACTGTTGTGTATCTATCTATTTCATGCATTGCATTGATTGGGTGTAAGGAGTGGGTGGCTATGGGGTGTTTAGGAAAAAAATATATATAAAAGAGGAAATCTTTTACAAAAAAAAAGAAAGAAAAAAAGAAAAACGTTCCGGAGGTCTTAATACACTGACGTGTGCCGTCATGTAGGGGGCGCTCTGTACGTGGAGTCTGTCTATACTACCAGCTAGTGGTCCTTATTTTCTCTATAGTGTGGTAAAGAGGAGTGATCTCGACTGGCGTTGTGGGTTTAGGTGGGTGTGTAGAGATGGATCATGAGATATCTTCAACCCACTAGAGTAGCAACTAGACTCCGGGAGCTATTCCACGGTATACGCATTTAACCAGCGTGGTGGGGCTCACGAGAAAGGTTTGGGAGGCCGCGTGGCATTTTCTTTTGATCAATGTGGTGTGGTCCACTAACAATAAAGATTAGATTAGATCAACCAAGGTCGAGCCCCCTTCAGTGGGACGGGGTTATAACAGAAATCCGGACAGTACTGTCATGCGTTGTTGGCTTAGCTTAAGGGATAAAACTTCATTCCATCTCCATTAGCTGCCGTCACAGCTGCTACG